GCTGTGTATGTTATAAAAAGTTACCGTAGCATTTCACTTAATTTGGAGAAATAGGTTAAGCTGATAAATTTCACTTTTGTTTTGCGTCAGTTTTACTTTTTGGTTCTCTTGCTTTAGGTACAATGGCTTTGTGGTTAGATTCACATAACTTCAGAGAACTCTTTAATTTTAAAATGTATTTCTATTCATCTTTTATTATATGAAATCAGATTTTTATCATTTTAGCCCTAAAATTAGTTGACAGGGTTCTTTTAAGCAGATAGCCAGGTTCTTCAGGCTTTATTTAATTTGCTGGATAATCTCCAAATATGTGACAATAGATGCAACATATATCTGGTTCATTCAGTATCTACAGATGTAAGAAAGCACAGATGCTTTATATTGTAGTATCCACTGATTTAAAATTGAAAGCCATCTTAGTCAAACTTGTAGAGCACTTCCCTTGCCTTTTTTCTTTTCATAAAGAAAAAAAGAAATATGAAAGGGAGAGGGCAAAGCAAGTTTGCAAGCATGGTCCAAGTTCAGTTGGGATTACTTTGTTGAGCCCAGACATGCAATTTATTATGCTTATCAGTTATCCTGGATAGTTCAAGTTTAGTGTATGAGTAACGGAAGCTGCACGGAGTTCACAGCTACTGATTAAAAAGAAGTCACATGCATAACAATTATCTTTACATACTGTACATGTATTTACAGTCAGTAAAATAGCATTGGACCTACAAATCATCTTAGCTTATATCTCTGCTTGGTTTACCCAACAATAGAGATACCAGCCCAAGACCCAAGTTCAAAACAAGAATTTAAAATTAGAGTTTTACAAGTCATTTCAACTGGACTTTTAAAACTTTTTTGTTAAATAAAAGCTACATACACTTTATATTTAACAATTTCAATTGCTTTGATGGGGTAAATGTACATTTATTACCATATACTTGAATGCAAAGTACACATGCTATTTTTGTTCGGTCAGCTAAGGCTTCAGTGTACAATAGACTACATAAGTTATTTTACAAGAATATGTATTCTTGAAGAGCTCTGAGTAGATGTTGCACATAAATACCTTCAGTTATACAAGTTTCTGATATTTAGTTGAATTACATTTGATAATGGTTCCCCATTCAGTCAATGTGAACAATGTGTTATACATCTGAAAGTCTAATGAATCTCTTCGTCTTGAAACACACACAGTTTTCATCCTGGCCAGATGGATGTTCATCTGACAATAATTTGAAAGACTATTCAGTTGCCTCTTAACGGTATCTACACTTTCTTGCTTTAAAAGCAGACTGGGTTAAACTCACCCTAGCACCTTCAGCCAGGGAAAATTGACTTGCAAACACAGGATCCAGTCCTTGACTTTAGGGTGAGTAAGGTGGAGGAGAGATCAAGGCAGCATTTGAACTGCTAGGTTTTGAGAGGGAAAATACTGAGCTAGAAGGGGAGGATGCTAGACGTTATAGGAGACACAGCTGTTGTATGGAGGCTTACTCCCCCCTCCCAATTAAACATTACAATGTTCAGACAGTATCTAGCACAACAGAGTCCTGGTCCATGACTGGGGCTCCTAGGTGCAACTGGAATAATAATAATTGGTGAAATGCTCATGTCACCTCTGCCCCGGAGGATGGAATGGATTTTGTCACACCAGAATATCAAATTGGTCACAGATTAAGGGACTGGGCACTAAAGGGCTGGCTGTAAGATTCTACTTGGCCTGGGGGCTAAGAGATGCGACTCTTGACAGGCTGGGAGGTCAAAAGGGTCAGAATTAAAAAAACAAAACAAAACCCTCAAATTTGGTGATTTTTTTTTCTTTTTTTAGGGCTGTTGATTAATTGCAGTTAACTCACACGAGTAACTCAAAAAAATGTATTGTGATTTAAAAAATTAATGGTGATTAATCACAGTTTTAATTGCACTGTTAATAGAATACCAATTGAAATTTATGAAATATTTTGGATGTTTTTTCTACATTTTCAAATAAATTGATTTCAATTACAACACAGAATATAAAGTGAATAGTGTTCACTTTATATTTTTACTACAAATATGTGCACTTTAAAAATGATAAAAAATAGTATTGTTCAATTAACCGTAGTGCAATCTATTTATCATGAAAGTGCAACTTACAAATGTAGTTTGTTTTTGTTTTTTTGTTACATAACTGTACTGAAAAACAAAACAGTGTAAAACTTTAGGGCCTACAAGTCCACTCAGTTCTACTTCTTGTTCAGCCAATCGCTAAGAGAAACTAGTTAGTTTACATTTACAGGAGATAATGCTGCCCTCTTCTTACTTACAATGTTGCCTGAAAGCAAGAACAGACATTCGCACGGCACTTTTGTAGCCAGCACTGCAAGGTATTTACATGCCAGATACAAAAATTTTATTAAAGCTAATGTTTAAAAAGTATATAATACATAGGTTGGGGAAAGAGTGTCTGTATATCTGGGTATAGTGCTTAGATTATCCACAAATACAAAGTTAGTTTTTTAAGTCATATGCTACCCAGAGTACATAATCAGCAATAACCCAAATTTAGGTGAATAGATTTAACAATACAGTTTAGATATTAGAATCCGAATACTTGAGTACATCACTCATGAAAAGTTGTACAGAGATTTGGTTGTGGAAAGCAAAATGTATCAATGAGTGGAGATTGTCCCTCAGTAATTGAGAATTAGGTTGGTTGTCCATTTAGAAAATACAATCCATGAGGAAAGTATTTGTTACTTTCCTGACTGCGCTTCTCATCAGCACTCCAGATCATCCCTCCTGGTATTACCGATGTCCAGTGATGTGGTCTATGTAGATGTCCCTCGACTACTTGATAGCGTCTGATACCATGAGTTGCCACATCAGCCGAGGTTAGCATTGACCGATTCCGCATTCTCTCAGCACTCACTCATACTGGGGTCCCATGCGCCTAAGGCTCCAGCGATCAGTGCGTGTGTCTGCCCTGGTAACCCCTAGCTCTCAAGGTTTTGCTCAGAGGGGGATATTTCTCTACCTTTCAAGATCGGGCATTGTGGAAGGCCGGGGTCCTGTTCTCGAACGGCACTGTGACGTCCACCGTGATGATATTCCAGTCCTCCTTGGTGATGACTATGTTCACTCGCAGTTGGCTGTCGGGTCTGGGGATGATGGAGTTTATAGCAACCTTCCCCAACAGGTGGCGGGATGGCTCTGGCCAGGCTATCTTGGATGGTGTGGTGTCGCAGCTGCAAAGCTCTTGAATGGAGCTTGCAGCTACACAGGACATGGGGTAGCATCTGTTGGCATAGCCACACTTCCTGCATCGCTTGTCCTGATTCCCGTGGTGGACAGTTCCATTCAGTGGTATGCAGTTGAGCCTGGCCCTGTGGATGAACCTCCAATCGGCAAATCAGGTGAAGCTGCCCCCGGGGACGAAGTGGTTGTTGGCGTCCCACTTGCACGTCACCTTGAATGCCTTGCCCTAGTCCAGCTTCCGTTTCAGGTTTTCCACATATTGGCAGTGGATGGCATCCTTCAGGGTCCTCTCCAGCATGGTTCTAGCTCTCAGAGTGATGATAGTGTGAGCTGTATTCTTCATCTGTGGCACCAGGACTCCCAGCTTCTGGCATTCCTTGCACCGTGTCCAGTGGCAGCCGATACGCTTCTCCAGTCATTGCGTAGCGTTGCGGGCACGAGTCCAGAGCGAAGCAAAGTCTCCCCTGTCTCTTCCAAATTTACCTTCCAGCGAGCCGCTCAGGTAGGTGGCGACATCTTGGTTGGAGGGGGTCCTGGCAATTCGCTTCTTGACGGCATCCTTTAAAGCACTCTCTGCAATGTTCCTCACCCGTGGTGTCCGGGCACATCAGAAGGCGGAAGACATGAGTGATCATGGCAACATCGCATAGATCATCCATTCGAGGGATGTTGGCACTGTCCTGCCTGTGCAAGATGTACACCAGTTCATTGCTGGCCCTCTGGGGAAGAAACATCCACTTCTTCACGAGCTGCTGGATGATGTTCTCTGCCTTGTTCAGTGGTACCTTCGCCACAGCAGATCCCCTCAGGACAAATGAGATACAGGGGATCAGGAGGGTGTTCAAGGCGTTGATCTTCTGCCATGGTGCCAGTAGGGAGGAGTTGATTCTGGTCACATCTCGTAGGATCAGATGGTATCCTTATTTACAGTGTCCCCTGAAAGCGGGAACAGACATTCACATGGCACTTTTGTAGCCAGCATTGTAAGGTATTTACATGCCAGAAATGCTAAACATTCATATGCTCCTAAATGCTTTGGTCACCATTTCAGAGGACATGCTTCCATGCTGATGATGCTCGTTAAAAAGTAATGCATTAATTAAATTTGTGACTGAACTCCTTTGGGGAGCATTGTATGTCTACTGCTTTGTGTTTTACCTGCATTCTGCCATATATTTCATGTTATAGCAGTCCCCAACGATAACCCAGCATGTTGTTCGTTTTTAAGAACACTTTCACTGCAGATTTGACAAAACGCAAAGAAGGTACCAATGTGAGATTTCTAAAGATAGCTACAGCACTTGACCCAAGGTTTAAGAATCTGAAGTGCCTTCCAAAATCTGAGAGGATGGGGTATGGAGCATGCTTTTGAGAAGTCTTAAAAGAGCAACGTTCCAATGTGGAACTACAGACCCTGAACCACCAAAAAAGAAAATCAACCTTCTGCTGATGGCATCTGACTCAGATGATGAAAACATGCATCGGTCTGCACTGCTTTGGATCATTATCAAGCAGAACCCATCATCAGCATGGACGCATGTCCTCTGGAATGGTGGTTAAACATGAAGAGACATATGAATCTTTAGTGCATCTGTAAATATCTTGCAACACCAGCTACAACAGTGCCATGTGAACACCTGTTCTCACTTTCAGGTGACATTGTAAACAAGAAGTGGGCAGCATTATCTCCTGAAAATGTAGACAAACTTGTCTGTCTGATTGGCTGAACAAGAAGTCGGACTGAGTGGACTTGTAGGTTCTAAAGTTTTACATTGTTTTATTTTTGAATGCAGTTATTTTTTGTACATAATTCTACATTTGTAAGTTCTCCTTTCTTGATAAGGAGATTGCACTACAGTACTTGTATTAGGTGTATTGAAAAATACATTTTTATTTTTGCAGTGGAAATATTTATAATAAAAATAAATATGAAGTGAACACTGTACACTTCGTATTCTGTGTTGTAACTGAAATCAATATATTGGAAGAGATGGAAAACATCCATAAATATTTATATAAATAGTATTCCATTATTGTTTAGCAGTGTGATTAATCGAGATTAATATTTTTTTTAATTGCTTGACAGCTCTAATTTTATTTATGGGTTTGTCTATAGAGGGAAGTTAGTTCAGATTAAGGTTGGATTTAAATTTAAAGTTGATCTTGATTAACTCCCTGTGTAGATGTTGTTCTTATTCTGGAATAAGAATGCTTTATTCTGAATTAGCTTAATCTAAAATGGGTTAAGGGAGTTAATCAAGAATAGCTATTCTGCTTTAAATTCATGCTTTACCTAAATCTGAATTAACTTCCCTGTATAGACAAGCCCACAGTAAATAAAAATACATCATATTGATAAGTTTGTCATAAGGAGAACCTATCTAGCTGAATTTTACAGTGTCCGATTAAATAGTGTATACAGAGCTTTGTTTTAATGTGTTCCTCTCTATTCTTAATGAAACTAAGACCTCCCTGAAATGTAGTTACATTAAAACACCCTTATGCTGGTAGAGCAGCGTAAAAGGACTTTGTAAATGAGCATCCGGCTTTTGAAAACTAGACTGTTATTTGGGAACTCTAGGCAGATCATCCCAGGGAGGTACAGAAACCTTCAGCTTCTAAAAAGAGGTAGCGAAAAGAGAGTGTCTGAAACCACCACCACTCAGGCTTCTTGGTCAAAAAGGCACAGGCTGGGGAGCTCTCTCCTATAAAGAGTGTTTCTTGCACTATCACAGTCTGACAGACATACAGGGATACTAAGACTACAGACAAGAATCGAGTTGCAGAAACAAAGGGAGGTATTTTTATACCTGTGCAAAAATCAGAAATGTAGTTACATGACTTGCATGTGCTAGGGCTTGTTCTTTTTCTCAGCTAAGCCAGTGGAGGTTTTGCTGTTGATTTCAGTGGGAGCTAGGTACAGCCCCAAATGCAGATTCCACACACAAATTAACAGTCTGTTTAAAAAAATCTGACTCTCACTGGCATGAATGTTTAGATGAGGCAGCTGAAGGACTTTACAAATGGCCTTAGCAAGCGGATGGATGATCCAGCCAGTGACCTAGGACCAGAGAGAGGGAATGTGTGCAGAAGGGCAGGTGTAGCAGGGTCCTGAGAGCAGAGCAGGAAATTTAATTGCAGGGAAGAACCTCTTGCTGCTGAGGACTCCTGTTAGGAAAAGACTGTTTATTGCACCAAATTAACTCAAATGTAAGGGTGGGGGGAGAAGAGATGGAGGAAACGAATTTTGAGAGGGCATGTTTGGGGAAGGGGATTAATTGCTCAGGGACTGGAGCCAGGAAAGAGTACATGGATTCAATACAGAATGGGGACAGGACAGGAGGATCCTAAGGGATTCAGGAAACCCCAAATCTCCCCAGCTTCCATATGAGAGACAAAAAGAGATAAAGGCTAGAGGCTCCTTGCTAATGTGAAGGACAGGACTGCTGTGGATTCTGGTTGCTTAGCTGAACCGTTAGTGAACTAAGCTACCCACAATAACATAACCTGAAATTCCCCATGATGTACATGCAACTCCACTAGCCTTGCTTCTCAGAATTGTTTCACGGCCACTTTTTTCTGAAATGCTGGCAACCAGGTAATAATCACATATAAAGTCTGTTTTGTATTTATGCCAACAAATGCTAGAGCATGAGCTCTTGGGGGCAGGAAGCGCCTTCATGTTATTTGTTTGTACAGTGCTTAGCTCAGTAGAGTCCTAGTCCCTGACGGGTACCCTTAGATGTGCCAGAAATAATAAATAACAATAACTTAAGCTATAGAGGAAGGCTGTCAATGGTGAGGAGGCTTTGTACTTCCCCAACTTTGATAGGTTCCATAGTTGGAGGCCATGACAGTTAAATGCTGTCATGGACTGAAAATTCCCCTTCCTTCATTTTAATATTTGTATTTTATGATTAAATCTTGAAATATAAGAATATATTGCACGCTTATAAATCAAGGACTGAAAGATGGAGAAAAGTTAAAGAAAATAGTCAACATCTTTTCCTCCTGTCAATAAAATCTGTCTTCAACCATTAACCACTGAGCCAGCAGGGCCAGTATCAAGACTATTTGACCTGAATGGTAGCATGGAACTTTAAAGTGGAAGCAATACTCCAGTGTCACAGCTCTAGTCTCGTGCTCTGTATGAGGCACTATAATTTTTAATTTTGCAGGGTTAAAAGTTTGGGTAGCTAGAACCTCTAAGGCCAGCTCAGAAAGCAAAGATTTTAAAGGAATGCTTAATTTTAATCCTATTTGTAAAAATATTTATATACCACATCTTAGAGCATTAAAAAGGAAAGACTTAAAATGTTACTCGTTTCACTGCTTGATGGTTTATATTTCTAATGTTGGATGATGAAAATCAATGAACTCAGTTGCACTTTCCAGTTCTTAATGCAGCAATCATTGGGTCCATGAAATTTCTCTCTGATCAAAAATTGCTCAAAAGTCTTAGATTTATCAAATGTTTATCAGATGTTTCAGAAAACCTGAACTTGGGCCAAAATTGAGTTGATAGTGTCCGCTTAATTACATACCTTGTTGGAACACTTGTAGATGGGCAGTGGGGACTTGATAGAAACAGTAGCTTCTTGCAGAGTCACATCATGCATCATCCATATTGGACATGGAAGTTGCTTACTGATGATAAATATAAACTTCAGGACCTACATCACCCTTCTTGAGAGAGAATCCAGAATGTATTAATTCCCATGTTCAGAAGATAAATTATTTTAAACTGTCAGAGAAAGGAACACATTTATACATTCAGCAGTATATTGAACAGGCAAAATACGCTGATTCAACAGACTATATCTCTGTTTAAAATCTTTCAGTCTCTTGTTTCCTGTTCACTTGAATACAGCAGCTTTGTCACAGTTCAAAAAGCCCTCTCTTTCATCCAGAGGAGAGCTCCTGCCTTGTCAGCTACGCGCAGTCTCTGTGTTGTGTATTGTCCAATACATGATTTCTGCGTTGAATACTGAGAGATTCAATTGTTTTGTGCGCCTGTTTAAGCTGAATCTTTAAAGCTTCATTTTCTGCCTTTAGAATATTTCTTTCCTAAACAAAAACAGAGAATGGCAGGCATCATGTGAATGGTATTGGATTTTTAAATCTATTTCACCCCTGTTTGCTGGTGCACTTGCTTGACTGGCATCTCACATTTTCTGTGAGAGACTCTTTAACTATTCTCCAAATGGTTATTATGCACTGAACAGTAAATGGCATGTTAAACAAAAAAGATCAGCATGAGCAAATGGCAATTAATTTTCTGTTTGCATCTCTAAAGAATGTATTTGGTTAGCTGGTAAATTAACCATTTCATGCTTGGAACCAGTATTTTTCAATATGATTCATGCAGAATATATTTGTTCTAAATGTACTGAGCTTTCAACCACACAGTGCATAGGAGATGCAAAGGTGGGGGAGAAGATTTGGGTGGTAGGTGGGAGTCCGTGTTTCAAGGATGGTTGGGAGAGGGTTTAGTTTTGGACACTGCTTGGGTTTGTAGATAGATATAACATGGATTATTACTGTGGTGTTTTTTTTTCACAAAGACTGAAGGCTTCATGGGGCAGTGACAGGCTGTCTCTTGATTCCATTGCCTAGTGTAATGACAGTGTACTAGTTGAACCCTTTCCTCATTTCCTTTTCCCTGTGCATTAATATGCAAAGGTCCACAAAGTGCTGGCTGCCTGCAAACTGTGGGAAGTGAGCTTGCTTTATTCTTGCTTGCCTGAGATTTTCGGACAGTGATGCTGATTGGAGTTAGGATTTTAATCATTTCAGTTTTCATTTGAATTGTTTAACTTTTGTAAGAGGAAGGGATTGTCTTGTGGTTAAAGCACTGGACAGAGATTCAGATCTGGGTTTAAATCCTGGATGTGTCACAGGCTTCCTACATTACCTCAGGCAAGTCACTTAATAGTACTGGGCCTGAAGCCCTTCTCAGTAAAACGGGTAAACAATGCTTGCTTTCTCCCACCTTTTATCTGTGTTGTCAGTTTAGGGTCTGATCCAACTCCCAGTGACGAATGAGAGTTTTTCCATTGACTTTAGTGTGAATTGGATCAGGTAAGCTTGTAAGAAGAGAACTGTTACTTACTTACCTTACAGTAGATGTGGTTCTGCAAGATGTGATGTCTGTGCGGATCTCACTGTTGGTGTGCTTGTGTCCCATGCGCACAAGATCAGAATTTTCTAGAAAGTACTGTCTGTTGGGGGCTGTACCTGCACCCTGAACATCCTCACCCCTCCCTTCCACCATCCCCAGCTAAGCACACAATGGGCTACATGGCTCCAACCAACTCTGTTCCCTCAGTAATTCAGAATCCCAGAGATAAGGACTCCAAAGGAGCAGGAATGAAGTGTGTGTCATGGGATCCACATGGACAAGACTTCGCAAAGAACTACAGTAACTGTAAGATAAGTAGCTGTTCTTTCCTCTTTGCGTCCTTGTCCATGTGGATCCCACTGGTGCTGGCTAGCAAGCAGTAATCCTCACAGGACAGACTGAGGTGCCTTGTCTAACTAGCTAACTTAGTCAAAGAGAGAACTGAGAACAGCCCTTCCAAATATGGCATTAGCTTTGGCAGCCTGGGGTTATTTTGTGAGTGACGCACCAGTTTCAGAAAATTATTGCTTCTTGACAAAGGGAGGAGTGAGCACCATTTTGTCTGATGAATATTGCAGATGTATTGTCCATCAAGGATCGCTTGATCAGTGACAACACCTTGAAAGCTGGCCTGATCACTCAAAACTCCAGGATGTTAATGTGAAGGCAGGCGTTGCTTTGGGACCTGATTCACCCTGTCGTAGAAGCATCTGTGACTACAGTTAGTGATGGGCATAAAGTCTGAAATGGATCTCCTCTCCTCGTGCTGGGGTTCATCCACCATTTGAGAAAGTCCAGTGTATAGCACTGTGATAAGAGTCCGTGGGGTATCTAAAAGGCTGCTACACTATTCTGAGCCAGGACTGAGCAGTGGACATATGCAAAGTCTGAAAGAAGCATCACATATGTGCATGAAGCAAGATGACCTAGTAGCTTTAAGCAAAACCTTATTGATGTCATTGGTTGGTTTGAGAGAGTAAATATAAGAGATTTAATGGTGTGAAATCTATTGATATGGGGGCAAGCCCTTCTTGAGTTCGTCAAGAAGAGTCGTGATAAATTCTATCCTCTGTGAGGGACAACTTGGCATAGATCACTCTCTGTCCTAGACAATGAAAGAGATTCAGAACATTGGTGATGGTTGTGGAGACTTCTTGGCTGGACTTTCTCTTTAGGAGTCAGTTGTCCAGGTACAGATCATTTTGTCAGTGTAAATGAGCTACCACAATAGCTAGGCATTTCGTGAAGGCCCTTAGTACTGACAACAGGCCAAATGGGAGTACTCACACTCCTGTCTCTCTCCATCTGTTCTCTCTTGTGTTCTACTTAGGTTAGAAGCTCTTTGAGGCAGGGACAGTCTTTTTGTTCTGTTTGTACAGCACCTAGCACGATGGGGGTTCTGGTCCGTGACGGGACTGCAGGTACTACAGTAATACAAATAATATTAATAAATAAAATGATACTTCCTGTGTGCAAGGTTGATGGCAATGTGGAAGTAATGCATTCTGGAGGTCGAGAGCCATGGACTAATATTGAGCTTTCAGAGCAGGTATAACAGAGGCTCGGGAGACCATCCTTTTGGATGTACCTACTGAGATGTCTCTCATCCAGGATGGGGCACAGCACACCATTACTTTTGGATTGAAGGAAATATTGGGAATAGAATCCCTTCTCCTTTGAACTCTGAAGGAATTGTCTCTAGGGCTTCTGTGAGTGGGAAGGAGTCCATTTCTTTTCCCAGCTGTTTCTTGTGAGAAGGGTCCCTGAAAAGGGATGGGGAAGAAGGCTGGGAGGGAAGCAATGATTGGAATTGTATAGGGTAACCCTTTATGATTTCCGTGCCCTGTATGTCCAAAGCTATTCCAGTCCATTCATGTCCGAGAGAAGCAAAATAAATGGCAACCAAATATAAGTGGGCTTTTAGAGAGCTCTGTAGTGATTGGTTGGGAGCTCAGTATTCCCATCAAACCTACTTATTTTGAGGAGAAAGATGCAAGGATTATAGCCTTAGACTCTATGAGGTAGAAGCTGAAGGTGTCTTCCTCCTTGAAAATCTAGACCTCCACTTAGATGAGAAGTCAGCAGACCTTTTTTGGTAGGAAGATGATGATCTCTGTTTTGGTTCTGGAAACAGATTGCCTTCCTTTTAGTGACCAATGTATAGATCCCTAAAGACCTATGCATGGCTCTCTAATCTTAAAGCCTCATCAATTTGGGAACAGAAGAGATCAGGCTCCTCGAAAAGATAGAACTTCAATAGCATACTGGACATCTGTCAGGATTCCTGATGGCTGGAGCCAGGATGCTTTGTTATTGCTGTGGCCAGGAATTGAACAGCAGCATTAGACGCAACTTGGTGAGAGGTCTTGGCCATTATTAACCTTTTGCTTCACTGCCTTCAGTTCTATTTTTTGGTCGAGAGAGAGAGAGAGAAAGGAAGAACCTTATCTCTGCTTGTTGTGTTTGGCAAGTAATGCCTGATAAGTTGCAAGGATACTGAGGAATGTGGTTTTCTACCAAATAAGTCCAACCTCTTTAGATCATTTTCCTTGGGAGTGGACCGAGTCAGGGCTGGTTGTCAGGCCTTTTCTAATACTGCTGAGACCACAAGAGAGCCCGGGGTAGGGTGAGAAGTGACATTCATATCCCTTTTGCAGAGTACTTGGTAACTCCTCTCAGCCCTCAGAGATAGGAGGAGTTGAGGCTGGTGTCTGCCATGAGTCCTTTGTTGGCTCTAAGATGCCTTCACTGATAGGCATGACCAGTCTCGCTATCATGCGCTTTGGTGGCTTTTCTTGGTGCACTGAAAGCAATAACCCAAGTATTGGCTATTCTCCCAAGCAGGTCTTGAAATGCCCTAAAACAAAGGTCTTCAAACAGTGGAGGCACGCCCCCCTAGGTGGGCATGGAGGAATGTTTTGGGGGGAGAGGGGGGAAGTGGCGGTGGCAGGTGGCTCCAGCCAGCCCCACATGGCAGGGCTCAGAGAAGAAGCACCACCCCTGACTCTTCTTTTTTTTCCCTCTTTTTGTCTGTGTTGGGGACACAACCCAAAATTTGAACTCCAAAGGTGGGGGGCTCAGCTCAAAAAATTAGAAAACCACTGCCTAAAATCAGCTGCAGGCAGGATCAGTACAGGGGTGTCTGCCACAGCAGGAGATGATAATGACTGAGCAGCAGGTTGTTTTATCATTTCATCAACCAGATCTCTGGAGGAACCCTCCTCTTCATATTCAGGCCCTGACTCTCTGACTTCGTGGCTATGTCTACACTGATAACAGTGTATGGCGTACGAGTACCACACATGTAGCAACATACTGCAGGGAACAACTCCAGCAGCTCCTGCCTTTTCCCGCTGTCTCCCCACTGCCAGAGCCTTTCCTTGCTGCAGTGAAAGGCTCCGACAACAGGGAGCCTCAGTGCAGCAAGAAAAGGCTCCAGCAGCAGGGAGGCAGGAGCAGGAAAGGGCTGCCTCTTTCCCCACCCCCTGCCAGAGCCTTTCCCTGCTGCTGGAGGCTCTCACTGTGGCAGGGACAGGCTCCAGCAGCAGGGTACAGCTAAAAGTACCAGTGTAGACATAGAAAGCACTGCTTGGGTGTAGAGTATCTATCCTGGAGGTTCCTGCATGTAGGGCACTCTTCTGGCCTAAGCCATGTCTCACTGAACACATGCTAGCTGGGCATGCAGTGTCTGTACTCGGCATGCTGCCGTATATATAGACATCTTTAGTGTGTGGGCGACGCAGCCCTTTGCATGGAAGTTGATCTTGGTCCTTTTCTAGCTGAAGGTACAGGAGAGTGGGACCTAGAGGTACATGAGGTTGCACCCCAGTATGCCCAATAAAGCCAAGAAGGGCAGAACGACTGAGAAGGAGAAGTAGCCTTCCAAAGTCTTTCAACTGTGTAATGGGGGAGGTGCCTTTCCTGAAGGGAAACTGGGGTGATATCCCTACTTTGGCTCTTAAGAGCATGGGAATGCTCCTTAGCAGAAGCTGGGGGAGGTAGGAGGATGGGGAAGATGAGGTCTGTAGAAAGTGCTGATGGGATCAGCAGTGTGAGGATTAGTACTGAGGAGGAGGGTTCCAGTGCTTAATTTGTAAGGAAAGAGGTGCCACAGCTGAGCCCCAGAAAGCCCTGGCATAAATTAAGCACCGGCTGAGAGGCCGGAGAGCGGCAGCGGCTGGCCGGGTGCCCAGCTCTGAAGGCAGGGCCACCACCAGCAGCAGGGCAGAAGTAAGGATGGTGTGGTATGGTGTGCTGCCACCCTTATTGCTGCGCTCCTGCTGGTGGTGGTGCTGCCTTCAGAGCTGGGCAGCTGGAGAGCGGCAGCTGCTGGCTGGGAGCCCAGAGGTGCCACGGCTGAGCCTAGAGGTGCCAAGACTAGAGGTGCCGGGCTGAGCCCCAGCACAAATTAAGCACTGGAGGGTTCCCTGAGGGCAGGTAACAGGATGGCTAACTGAGCCTTGTACCAGAGAGTAAAAGTTCTTTTGGTATTGAGAGAGACTCTAGCATCTGAGGATTCTGTCGCTGCCGAGGCAGTCAATACCGTGGAGCTGAAGTGGGCTCCCATTGTCCTGAGGGAGATGGCGAGCTAGTCAGGGTCACTTTCTTGAGCTGATCTATATTCTTGGCCTTAGAGTTATCAGAGTCACAGGGCTCCAGGCTCCTTTTACACACCTTTGCTTTATTCTGTTCCAGTGAAGGAGGATGGCAGTGTCATCTGGCCCTGGGTGGGGGGCAGAATCAGCCTGTTGCAGAAAGAGTAGAACTTGAGCGCTGAGGGTTTGGAGTCTATCATAGAGGTGGTAAGGCACAAACATCTAAGAACATTCCCTGGGACAAAAGGGGACTGGAAAGCTGCCAAATGGGCAGAAAAACTATTAACTAATAATCTAAATCTATACATACAATTAATAACAAAAAAACTATTGGACTAGTTGCAAGTGAAAGGAGGATGCCACAGTTTCCACCTTACTGCCCATACAGAGTTTTTGTGGCCATTTACGCCTTGGGATTGTGGGGAGCACAAGCACGTACTGGGCACAGGTGTGATCCCAGTGGACACTGCTTACCAGAAAGTTTGAAACTCATGTTCATGGAACACATGTGCACCAATAACAGCGGGAGCCACACGGGCCAGGATTTGAAGAACCGTTTCTTACTGTGTGTTTTGTACAGTGCTTAGAACAATGCCCCAATCTAGGTTCGGGCTTCTAGGTAGTTATTTTACAATGGTTAACATTGTATATAGATTTTACAGTTCCTCATTGCTGATTGTCTGGTTTGTCCATTTTACTCTGCTGAATGCCTTTCATTTCTATAAAGTTCTATTTCTCTCTCTATCATTAGTTCTCATCTGTCTCTCTTCTGGTTTTATTCTCAGCTGCTATCTGTGCCCTCCCGTATCATGAATTCCATGCTATTCTTTTCTCTTATTTACATTTCTTTGGGATATTTTTTTCTTATTTTTACCCTCACAATCATGTGCTTGTCTTTCCCTTTCAGCTTTCTTATTTCTATTACCCTTCTTGTTTTCTCCATAGCTGAGTAGCCCACACATTCAATGTCTTTCTTTCTGTATATTCACTTCAGTTTCATTGGTTCCAGCCTCTTGTTCTCCAGTGTCATTTCTCTTTCTCTGCTTGACCACTCAGACTTTTCTAGGTGTTAAATGCGAAAAACTGTTAATGCAACTTCTACACAGTAAAAATCACAAAGTCAGGAAAGTGTAATATTTCACCAGCAAAGTGAACTTGGCCACATTACCCTTCCAATCAATTTTATGATGTGTACATATTACAACATAAACTGTTATACATTTGCCTGTTCTTTTAAATAGAAATGGAACTAGAAATGCTAAATTCTGTTCTGCAGAGTTAAGGTTATTTATGGAAGCTTTAGCTTCCATATTTCTTGAGTTTTTATGATTAACTGTATCACCTTGAAGTTGCATTCAGAGTTTTTTTGGGGAGGCTTTGATGTCCTATGGATTTTTTAAAGAAATGCAAAAAAAATAAAAACTATAATATTTAATGATCCCAATTAAATTTTGAAGTTCACATCTTTTTCATGGTAAAGTCTGGCTTTATTAGTGCTACTATTTAGCTAGAGAGTTTTTGGCACGGCAGGGTTAACCTGGCATCAGCATAGTGGCTTACAGTTTAATGGCAACATCTTCACTGTGGAAACTAATTTGCAAACTATTGCCCAGTCTGGCGTGTCCCTAAAATTGATGACTAGATTTATGGAGTAAAATCCTGGCTCTAGTGACTTCAATGAGAATAGGATTTCACCTATGGATGTAAAGGCCGTAAGGGATCATTGTGATCATTTAGTCTGACCTCCTGCATAAGAAAGGCCTAATAATTTCTGCATCAAGCTCAATAGCTTATGCTTGAATTAGAGCATAACTTTTAGAAATACATCCAATCTTGATTTAACGTTTTCAAGGGATGGAGACTCTACAAATATCCCTTATTAATTGTTCCAGTAGTTCGTTATCCTGGCAGCGCAAAAGGCCCTTGAAGTGACAGTGGATTGTTAAATTAACTTAAAGGCCTCTTTACTGTGCCACTGTAGTGTAAAGGAGAATATGATCCATTGGGTAAGTACCTGCTCCAGTTCCTGGTACGAGGGTTTATAGATGCGAAGCTCGTCCTTCCGTTTCTGACTTGAGTCTTTGTTTTCCCATTTTACATAAGCCTTTTTGCGGCTTAGAACTGGGCTTGGGCATGGAGATGGTGTTGCAGGCTGTAGATAAATATTTTCAGATGGTATCCCATGCTCCTTCTCCATCTGCCTGTTGGGTACATCGCTAGTTGCCAGTGTTGGCTCAGTCTGTGTGCTCTTGTCAAGAACAGCTGGCTTCACTCTCACTGAGATTTTTTGGGACGAGACGCCCATAAGCATAATTGTTCGGTCCTTCCTCTCTTCATTGTGTTCAGCCACTTCTCCATTAGGAAATGTAAACGGTCCTTCCTCCTGCCCTACAGAACAGAAACAACGAACTGAGTTAATTGGAGACCTACACTGGGAAGGAAGATATATAGCCACAGTCATTCAGTGTGCCTTTTTAAAACAATGTACTATGCAATATTTAAGCTGAAAGGGTGTTTATATTCACATCTCTCTGAATTTGGTCTAGTAGCAGAGGCACTGAAACTTTTTCCAGAGTGTGGACACTTTTTCCAGAGTGTGGACACATTCCCCTCCGATTCACAATCCCATAAAATCCCTGCAGCAACTGCAAAATTACTTACATGGGAAAGAATTAGGAAAGTATTACTGTAAATGTAGCTGTCTTTAAGATGATGTAGCATCATAGAAGTGTAAAACTGAAAGGGACGTCAGTAGGTCATCTAGTCCTGTCCCCTGCACTCAAGGCAGGACTAAGTAATAATTAGACCATTCCTGACAGTGTGTTTGTCTAACCTGTTCTTAAAAACCTCCTGTGATGGAGATTCCATAACCTCCCTAGGCAGTTTATTCCAGTGCTTAACCATCCTGACAGTTAGGAAGTTTCTCCTAATGTCCAGCCTAAACTGCCCTTGCTGCAATTTAAGCCCATTGCTTCTTGTCCTATCCTCAGCAGTTAAGAACAATTTTCTCCCTCCTCCTTGCAACAACCTTTTATGTACTATGAATGAAAATGAAATAATACACACTAGAGAACTTCCTCCTAATAATTCCTGCAGCAGATCTTTTAGAAAACCATCCAATCTTGATTTTAAAATTACCACTGATGGAGAATGGTAAATTGTTCCAATGGTTCATTACCCTCACTGTTAAAAAAGTACACCTTACTTTCCCGTCTGAATTAGTCTAGCTTCAACTGCCAGCCATTCAATCATGTTATACCTCTTGTCTGCTTGATTGAAGAGCCCGTTATTAAATATTTGTTCCCCATGTAGGTACTTAAAGAACGTAATCGAATTAGCCTTCTCTTTGTAAGCTAAGTAGATTGAGCTCTTTGCATCTGCCACTGCAAGGATGTTTTCTAATCTTTTAATCATTCTCTGGGCTGTTCTCTGAACCCTCTCCAATTTATCAACATCCCTCTTGAATTGTGGACTCCAGAACTGGACACAGTATTCCAGCAGTGGTCAGACCAGTGCCAAATACAAAGTAAAACAACCTCTCTACACCTGTACATACCCTTCCTTTCCCCATGGCCTTGGGGAAAAAATCAGTCTTTGTGTTAACTTACCCCTCTAAAACTGGTACAATGAAATACTTCATTTTGCAGTGTCTTTCATGTAAGTGATCCCAGAATGGTTTGCAGAGTTAAACAACAGTAACAAAATGAAAGCAACAAATGAAAGCAGAGGGAGTGAGAAATGCTGATCATTAATATTGTTGTGATATCTATGTACTAATTATATGTAAAAAATTATGTCTCTATACTGAAACTATGTCCTTTTGGTTTGTATCAAGGTGTTATTCCCCAGTAGAAGTGAAGAACTGGTTTTGCCAAACAAAGGCATGTATGTTCACGAGTCTGCCTAGGTTAATATGTAGATTAAGCACTGTAAGCCAAACACAAGGGGAGCTATATTTGCATTTCAAATCAGCAGAAGGATCTGAAGACAACTTGGAGGCATCACAATGGGGGGGGGGGGTGAAAGGGGCAATCCTGACTGAGGGATCAAAACAATGAGTTTGGCTTTTTGCTTCTCCTTTTATTTCTCATTTTGGTATCCCCTTACTGAGGAAACCCCTTGAAGGGTGTTGCGATCATTGTAAAAACTTGGGTCCTGGTTTTGACTGAAAACCAGCAGCTCTTTCATAACTGAATCCTTGGGAGAAGATCTACTTTATAAAACAGGAAAGGTAACTATTAATAAGTGTAGACCTTGGATTGCATTTTATGTTTTGTTTTATATGTGTAATCAGTTCTGTTTCCACTCATTATCCTGTATCAATATCTCTAAAATCATAGTCTTTGATAATAAGCATAGAAATAGATTACACTGCTGTTGTGTTATAAAAGGATCACATCCTGAGATGTACCAGCCAAGCTGTTTGTACATTTTGCTTTGGGGACCGCTTACCTGATAATTATTGTGAGTGTCCAGTGAGAGGGACTGGACACTGCAGGGAGCACTCGGGGGTTAGCCCTAGCTGGCACAGAGAAGGCGAGCTCTGTGGAGGCTGGGAAATCCATGATTGTGGGACCAGAAGCTGTTGCTTTCAGGTAGGGTTGCCAACTTTCTTACTGAACAAAACAAAATCCCTGGCCCTGCTCCTTCTCTAAGGCCCCGCCCCACTAACTCCATCCCCCTCCCTCTGTCACTCGCTGTCCCCCACCCTCACTCGCTCATTTTCACTGGGCTGGAGAGGGTCCCTTTTCGACCACGTGTTTGGTTGAAAACTGGATACCTGGCAACCCTAGTTTCAGGAAGCTGACCCACAACAGACATGGACAAGACTGCTTCACAGTAAGGGCAGGTAGTGGCAAGGTGCCTCACAACCCTGCGAACCCCTGGGGTGCCACAAGAAGCAGAGTGGAAAAGAGAGGTCTTCCCGTGAGATTTGAAAAGGGTTGAAGAGCTGATCAGGTGAGAGATACAGGGGAGCCAGTCCAGATGGCAGAACTTCAGAGAAAACTTTCTCTTCAGGAGTGGCGCATGAATGGGATGTGAGAAGATGAGGCTGTGACTAGATGTGTGAACAGACAGGGGAAAAGGAAGGGAAAGAGGCAAGTCTGACTGTAGTAACTATGTGGGGCAAGCACTTGAGGTGAGAAATGGAGACAATTTGAGAACTTTTAAATGAACGGGGGAGTCAGTGAAGCTAATGAAGGATGCAGCTGTGGCTCTTTGTACCTGGGGCAAGATGGATGGCCATATCTGCATGTGTTACAGCCCTGCATGTTCTGGAGGCTGGAGAGAGATGGGCCTGAGGGAGACCATAGAGCAGGTCAGTGAGAGCAGCCTGATAGCTTCCACGGCCAGAAGGGGCCCCTGTGATAATCTAGCCTGCCCTCCTTTATCACGCAGGCCATAGAACTTCCCAAAAATAATTCCTAGTGCATATTGTTTAGAAAAACCTCCAGCCTTTTGTCATAAATATAAAGGGAAGGGTAAACCCCTTTAAAATCCCTCCTGGCCAGAGGAAAACTCCTCTCACCTGTAAAGGGTTAAGAAGCTAAAGGTAACCTCACTGGCACCTGACCAAAATGACCAATGAGGAGACACGATACTTTCAAAAGCTGGGAGGAGGGAGAGAAACAAAGGGTCTGTCTGGCTGTCTATATGCTGCTTTTGTCGGGGATAGACCAGGAATGGAGTCTTAGAACTTTTAGTAAGTAATCTAGCTAGGTATGCGTTAGATTATGATTTCTTTAAATGGCTGAGAAAAGAATTGTGCTGAATAGAATAACTATTTCTGTCAGTGTATCTCTTTTGTAACTTAAGGTTTTGCCTAGAGGGATTCTCTGTGTTTTGAATCTAATTACCCTGTAAGGTATCTACCATCCTGATTTTACAGAGGGGATTTCTTTACTTCTATTTACTCCTATTTCTATTAAAAGTCTTCTTGTAAGAAAACTGAATGCTTTTTCATTGTTCTCAGATCCAAGGGTTTGGGTCTGTGGTCACCTATGCAAATTGGTAAGGCTTTTTATCCAACATTTCCCAGGGAAGGGGGGGTGCAAGTGTTGGGAGGATTGTTCATTGTTCTTAAGATCCAAGGGTCTGGGTCTGTAGTCACCTAGGCAAATTGGTGAGGCTTTTTACCAAACCTTGTCCAGGAAGTGGGGTGCAAGTTTTGGGAAGTATCTGGGGGGAAAGACGTTTCCAAACAGCTCTTCCCCAGTAACCAGTATTAGTTTGGTGGTGGTAGCGGCCAATCCAAGGACAAAGGGTGGAATATTTTGTACCTTGGGGAAGTTTTGACCTAAGCTGGTAAAGATAAGCTTAGGAGGTTTTCATGCAGGTCCCCACATCTGTATCCTAGCGTTCAGAGTGGGGGAGGAACGTTGACACCTTTGTTTAAAGATTGCTAGCCATGGCAAATCCACCATGACCCTCAGTAAACTGTTCCAATGGTTAATTACCATCACTGTGAAACGTTTATATCTTTATATGGAGGCATGGGTGAGAACTCCCCCATCAGAGCAGTTGAGGCAGTGGTGTGCATGGGCAATGCCGGCGGTGTGGTTACAGGCAGATTTACAGACACAGGCGATGCGCAAAGAGCAGGAGAGCTCAAAGATGATGAGAGCGAATACCTTGGGGAAATCTGAGTCAAAAAAGAAACACTTCTTCTTTTGGATGCTTATCTTATTAAATCTGAGATTAAGCCATGTTTCCTGGATTGAAATAGGCAGGAAAGCATGGGCAGTTAATAAAGATCTGTACAACTGAGTATTAATGTAAGAGGGTTAGTGAAGGTTAAGGTGACCAAGAGGGAGTTTGAAATCACCTAGGGAAATGAAGAAAAGAATGTAATTATGGCTTTTAATTTTCTTGGTGCACTGATATGTACATGAGTTGATTTTAGAAACCCAGAAGCAAAACTTGAATTTAACTCTGAGCCACTTATTTAATATTGCAATTGCTTCCTGCCAAGTGGTAGAAACTAGAGCACACTGCAATCTGCTTGTCACAAGGTGGCACAATTAGTTAACACATCAGCCTTTCACTTCTAGATAGCTGGGCTCAGATCCTCTGAGTCACAGCTCAGAAAAGGTGGACAGCGTCTTGGCTCAGCTCTTGTGGGAATTTGTGCACGTCCTACAATTTCACACAACTGGAGGTCTCTGCTCAGGAAATGACCAGGCCTGAAATAATTAGCAATATTGTGAGCAGGAGAGGGATAGTGGTGGGTGCACCCAGACTTAGGTTTACTTATGTCTGGCTCTAGCCCCAGTCCAGACTTATACGGCGACCCCTCTGATACTAGTCAATATGTTATTAGTTAATAAACACTAGAATTCATTAACAACGCTATTCAATCATGGGAGGCGGGTATAAGCCTTCCCTGGCACAGCTCCCTGCTCTGCCCCTTCCCCGAGACCCCCGCCACTGCCTGGTGAGTCTCTCCTCTCCTTACCCCTGCACAGGTCCCCACTGCTTGCCATGTCCCTACTCTCCTCCCCCCAAGTCCTCTCCTCCACCCCCCTCTTCCCTGCAAGGCTGCCTGCACAGCCGCTGCGTCGCAACTCTCCTCCACCTCCTCCCCGCAAGACCCGGCCACCTGCCGCTCGCCACATCCCTCCTCACCCCCCCCCCCCCCTTGCAGGACCAGGGACATGGAGGAGAGGAGGGATGCAGAGAGCTTGAGTCGTGGGGGCATCAGGGAAGAGGGGGTGGAGAAGAGGAGGGATGTGGAGATCTTGAGTGGCGGGGGCTTCGGTGGGGAGGGGTAAGGGTAGGAGAAATTTGGCAGATGCTGGGGCCCTCACAAGGGAGGGGGCCTGGGCAGAGCAGGGGGGAGTGTGGGCAGGGCTGCAGGTGGAAGATGCGGAACAGGGAGCTAGCCTCTCCTAGGGGAAGCTTCACATACCACCCAGGTATTCAATTAATCAACATGTTGGGGGAGGGGATAAAGGAGGGGTCCTATATGTCACTTTGATCTTAGATATCTGAACCTTCCTCACCATGGAATTGCTCTTTGACTCCTACAGGGCAGAGGCTAGAAGCGAGGGCTGAGGTCGGGCTGTTATCAGCAGTCATGCTTTTGGATCTTTTCTTGCACTCAAATACAACCAGGTCTTTGCATTGCTTGTGACAGTTCATTCCACAGTCTGTAAACAAGTAAAACAAGGTTTGCAGCATTTAGTGGTTTTGCTGCAGCATCTGAGATCCGTTCCCACACTGTATTACCTCCCCAGGAAACTGCAGAGGCCTTCTTACATGTTCTGTAAGGCATGGTATGAAACCACAAATGGATGGTAAATATACTCAACTGCATCCCTGTGCAATGTACCATTCAAACCCACTTTTATACTGAAGATATCCCACTAGCAAAAAACTCAGCCAAGCAGAACACATTAGAGTGGTACTGGCCCAGGTGGCTACTTAATATTGCATGGTCACATTGTCTTCTCCCATGCAAAAGCCTGCAGGAGCGTATTCAGAGGAAGGAAAACCCTGCAAGATTTCCATTGTGGAACTCCCCAAATAGTTCTGTTGGGAGCTGGGGTTTGCTTCGCTAGGAGTGTCCATTACAGATCCTGTAGGGATTTGCGGAGCACTAGGGCCATCCATTGTGAGGTCCTATGACTTCAAACTGGCTGAGGGCCACCTGCCCCTCTTCCAGATCTCAGGCCATGGCTTCCTCTGTCAGTAGACGCTCTTTAGGTGGGGGGGATTGAAGTGAGGCTATGGAAAAGATAATGTATCCTCAGGCTATACAACCTTATCATTAATTTCGCAGGGCACCTTTATAACTATGCATTCAGTCAACAGAAGAGGAAGTAGTAATTACCTTTGCATCTATATCCTTGTTTAATAACTCCCCAGAGCTGGAATTCAGGCACAAAGGAAAAAAAGGCATATTTGTGTTAAGATATTTCATTGAATTTTGGCATGTCGGATGGCTCTCTCCAGGCACAAGAATGTGACAAAAGCCCACCCCTTTGTTTTGAAGCCTGATACTTTTTCTTGCCAGTCAATCATGTCTGCCGATCTGAAAAGGGGTCCCACAATTGGAGTAGCAGGGGTGTCACAAGTCATGTCTATTGTGCTTGCGTAAAGCCTAGTCTCCGGCTTGTGACACGCCTTCAGGAGCCATCACTAATGCATATCAGACATCACCCCATAACAGCATGATGCTGATCCCAGGAATCAGTCATCAGGGAGCAGCATAGTCAGCTTGCCCCGTCTTCCTTTGCTAAACAGGAAGCAGGCCCAGCTTCGCTCAGTGCTGGGCCAGTCCCAACAAACTCTGGGGGAGGGAGGCGCTAGGCTTTGAACCTTTTGCCTGACATTGATGCAGCTTGAAACAAGACTGCCTTGGCAGCCAGAAGAACACGAGGGAGAAGGAGCAACGTTAGAGAAGCAAAAACACCACCAAGGAGGGAAAAGGCTCCATTGAAACATGGTCAGTAACATTTAACATGTAAATTGTCCTAAGATTTCAATATTAAATGATAAATGTTTGCTTACTAGACAGAAGAAACATCGTTATGCTAATAGATGTTAATGTAATGTACTTAAAAAATAAGCTTACAAATCCAGCACAGTTGTCACAGAACGTAGGCTTTAGGTAAGTGGTCTCTTGGAAGTTGTGAGCAAAGCCAAGACCTAATTTAGAATAGATCGAGCTAGCCCTCATAAAGTAAGCTGTTATTTCATCCCTGCTAATCAGACCTTCCCTGCAAATAAACGAGAGAGATGGTTAATAGGGGCTCTGCTTTCCAGTAGCACAAGGAGAGTTAACTACATCTCCCCTCCCCCCCCAACAGCCGTAGATGTCAGAATTATTCAATAATCTGGCCATGGGTTCTACAGAAACTCATTTATGAATTAAAATGCAGTTTATACAACTAAACAAAATAGCTTCTTGTGAAGTGCAACCTCACAACACCTTCAGAACACTGTTCACAATTATCAAAACAAAGCAAAAAAAATGAAGCAAGGGAATAATTCCTTCCAACAGGAATTCACACTGTTCTTTACCATCTCTAATGTGGTGTTAGAAATGTGGTTTCCTCATAGGAGGAGGAAAGAGATACCATGCATTTCTGACAGAGTCAAATTTTAATTTTCTCTGCTTTCTAATTTTAATCCTTGGCAGGCCAGAGAAACTCCAAATGACCACAGCTGCATTTTTCTATATTTTTGAGGAACATTTTTTGGCTAACACACAAATCTGTTGTCATTTGATCAAAACACAGGTTTCACTGGTCTGTGCCAAACATATTTTATTTCTCTATATGGTCTTTAACAACGACAACAACAAAAGCCTGTTCTGAGACACAGTTTTACCTTAGAAAAATGTTCAATACAGTTAATGTTATTGAATATAATTCAATAAAAGATTCTTTAAGATATTACACTTCAATTTTCTTCAATCGGTCTAAGCAGAGTATTGGAGTCTCACAACAGACAACGGTTTGATTTTGCTGCAGGGGGGTGAGGTCATTTGCAACTAACTCAGAAGGTGCTTTTGTGAGTTACGTTTCCACTTTCATTTTGGGAGAGAGGAAGGTGATTTTAACATCTCTTATGACAACAACTATCTGTTAAGAAGCTCACATGCAGAAACAGATGTAAAAATGAGGTTCACAGACACACACCTGTCCTTGTCCATGACACAAAATGAGAATGGAAAGCTGGCTGCAATCTTTTCAAATTCTTCCTGAGAAATGTATCCATCCTGATCATGGTCATAATTTTTGAAGACAGACTGGATAAGATAATAATAGAGGAAATTATAATGAAGTCGCATAACTTACTTATCACCTTTTTTGGGGAAAAAATTAAGTTCAAAATATATTAGCATCCCAGACAAAAACATGTATTGCTTCTGAGTCATTCAGTGTAAAATAAACTTTAATGGTTTTCTTTAAAACAGTGCAAGGACCTTTCTTGCTGCCTGCCCTGCTTAAGTCTATAGAACCATCGTACATTCTGGATTGATGTCAAAACCCAAAGGTAAATTCTAAACAACATGGACCAAATTCTGTACTGCTCCATAGTGTGTGCAATCCCACTGCCTGGATATGGTGGTACTTCCCTTCCACAAATCCCTTTGTTTTTCACACTCAGCCCCTTTCTCCCCTCTCTAAGCCACTATGGCCAGGTCCACACACAAAGGTTGCACCACTGTAGCCCTCTTTATTAAAGTGGTGCAACTCCCAGAGCTAGATCTCTGTAGTTAAACCAAAATAGTTGCTCAGCCTATTTTATCAGGGCAGCTCTACATTGGAGGGAGTGTTAAATCAATGGAGTAACACCGTAGACAGTTTCATTAATATAGCGTCATCAATTCAAGTAATTCTCCCACTTCTAGCCTACACTGCAGCAGTGACTGATGCACTGAGGGGTGGTGACTTTTCTGCACTCCCTATCTAGTCATCAGCTTGTCCCAAAGTCACTCTGACTTTAAGATGTTTTACAAACTCCCAAGAGCCCCATTTGCAAGCCACTAGAACGCCAAACCTTTCAGAGCATTCCTGGGTTCACCAAAGGGGCTATATTGCCTAGCACATTTGCCTAGACCTGAAGTTAAGAGAATTGACTTCCTTGCTGTCTGGGGCAAGAAGCATGTGTAAACAGAGCTCAGAAACTCTCACCCAAAACAAGGTCATCTGCCAGTACCTGTGATACAAGAGGGCAGCTCTGAGCTCAGGAGCTTCCTTCTGATTCTTAGTGCCTGCTGCCTTTGTTATTTGAAACCAGGCAGAAACAGCTAGGGGGGAGGGCAGAAGTGTCCTTCCCTTCTCTATATCTCCATAGCTCCTCTACACAAACTACTGGCCATTTCCCCTGCTTTCTCTGCTTGGTGTTTTCTGCCTTCTCCCACACAACATCACCTGCCACCCTCTCAGTTTGGGCTGCCAGGCCCCCACTGCCTCTGTCTCCTAGTTCCCTCCTTTAAAATGTTCACTATAATCCCTTCCATGCCAACAAGGCTGTGCGACCCCAGTGATGTCTGCACCTGTGCAAGTGCAATGGTGTGAATGCACTCAATCAAAATACTTGGATCAATATAACTACTCCAATATAACTAGCACCTGCGCAACTTGAATGTGTAGACAAGCCAAAAGTTACCTTCTCTCTTGTAGGCCCCCAACTCAGCAAAGTACTTACGCACATGCTTAACTCTGAGATCATGGGCAGCCCAGCGACATCAGTGGGACTGCCCACATACTTAAGTGCCTGGCTGAATTAAGGCCATTTCTGCAACCCTTGCGCCCATTGAATAACACCACCGACATTCATGTGACTGCTTGGATCTATTAAGTATAAGGGTTGCAGAATCTGGTCCTAACTCTTAACTTTGAAAAGTTCCTCTAGCTCATGACAAATTCTTTTTATCAAGCAATTTGTGAAAACACATGTGAAACACTGGCAGGGACCTTGGGTCATGAATCCTGGTCTATAGGGCTCTTTGGAGTTATCTGGTTCCACCCTGCACTTCAGAGCCCTACTAACTCTTGTCAGAATCGAAGCTGAACACAGCCAGAGGGCCCCAGTCCTGGAAGCTTGATTGGTTCAAAGTCCTATTTAAACCCAGCACAGGAACAGGAAGATGTCTATACAACTGGGATCCATCTTGCTATGGACTGTGTGCTTCTGCTCCCCTGGCTTGACTTTCTGGTATCCTGACCTGGCCCAGCTCTGGTTCCTGATCTCTGGTTTGGCTCTCAAGCTTGTCTCCTGACCCTGCCTGCCTCCTGACATTTGACTCTTGGTTCACCCTCTGACTTTCTGGTATATAACCTGGCCTGATTCTTGCTTTGACCACTCAGTCAGACAGCCCATACCCCAGTCGAGACAAACACTCTGTATCAAAATAAACTTTAGCAAACAATGAGTGTGTGTTGCAGTTTAAGCAGCAGTGCAGTTAGTTGATACCCCTGATGGGACGACAGCTACTATAACGAAATTGTGCTTTCAAAAAATGCAATGGTTTTAACATGGTTTGCAAATAGACTCAGCACAGGTTTGAAGATGTCTGGTTTTCAGTATGCAGCTTCTCATTACATATCTTATCATATACAGGAGGTAATCAAACATACATGGTAAAATGGCCACTTACATCAACCATTCTCTGAACGTGCTTGCTGATTGTCTTTGGATCAGGTTTTGGAGCTATGCCTGAGGCCCAGTCTGCAACTACCGGTGGTTTGGAAGGTGTCAAAGGCTAAAATGAACATTATAGAAACTTATTACCATCTCATCAAGTATTTTCAATAACCAAGTTCTTTCCTTTGTCTAACAGAAGAATAAGAATGGCTAGCCAGGTGTAGATCAGTGGCCCAGTTGGTCCAGTATCCTGTCTCTGACAGTGGTCAGAGGGGAATGTCTTCACTGAGCTATCCACAGTGGTACTTAGGTCTTTTCCCTAAGTTATTACAGTTAATTCAGAGCCCAATAAGGTAGGTGAGTAGTTCTGCCAAGGTGCAGTTCTTTGCTGTTTCTTCCCAACACAAACGAATCCACCACCATGGCTGTCTGTTCATCCATCCTTATTGGCTACCGCTGCAATTCCTTACATGATTTTTCAGTCTTGATTAGTCTAAAAAATTGTGTCATCTGCAAATTTTGCTACTTCATTTTTCACCCCCTGCTCCAGCTCAGTGAGTATATATTGCACAACACCTGTCTTAGTATGGAGCCTGTGCCATCCTGTTAAACTACTGACCATTTAACTCTTCTTTTCTATCCGAGTTTCTGCTTCCTGACAATACTATGATCCCACCCCATGACTATTTAATTTACTTACTAGCCTTTTGTGAAGGACTTTGTCAAAGGCGTTTTGAACTGTCAATTAGTGAGGCACAATTTTCCTTTATAACAGATGGTTAGTCTCTATGATATCATGAACACTTTTAATTTTTATTGTTTCTGCCTATTTACCAAGAACAGCAGTAATTTCCCCATGGCTACTACATTCAGTCCTATGCATTTTGATTAACAGTAGATCAGTTTCATGCAATGTAAGGGTGACCTTAAAAGCCCCTCAATGCATAATGGCAAAGAGATCACTGTCATATATAAGCAACTGCTATCAGGCCTGACAGACTCACTAAACCTAACACATTGCTGTCATGGTACTTATCTGTAAAGAATGTTGTGTAAGGTGTCAGTTGAAAAAACTTATATCACGCTGGTCATCACAATCACTGTGTGATGTATGTGTGGGTAACCATTACACAGTTGAGTATATACTGAAAATATGTTCAAACCAGGCAGGGCTGATAAGCAAGGTTTTCCTAGACAATGGAATGTTGATTTATCTGTCTGCCTAGGTCTCAGATGTCAGTCGAGCCTAGTAAAAGCCAAAAACAAAGCAAGCACATTAAGTCAATAGGAAAAGCAAAGGGAAGGCTCTTCCAGGGGGTTGGGCACTGGGGTGCACCAAGTGTTACCTGCTAGGCAAAGTAAGGGCTGGCAGAGTCCTAAGGCATTTGTTTGGCTGGCTAACCAACTGGGGTGGCAGGGTGTTGTCAGTTGGTTTAGCATCTGCAAATCTCTCTTTTGTAAAGGCAGAGGGCTAACAAGGTGACTGACAGTTCTGGATGCCTTGAGAGAGTGTCACAGTAAGCAGCTTTCTTTTCCGTGTTTATTAAAAAAATTGAAAAATAAAAATATAAAAATGCCTTGGGGTAGATTACTGGAATTGTTAGAGGCCTGTTGCTTTAGAGGAATTAGAGTTCGCTATCAATGGGGCAACTCATGGGCCTGATGTCTCCACTCATGCTGATATAAATCAGGAGTAACTCCATATATTTCAAATACATCATTTGAAATAAATGGAGTTACACTGGTATCATAAGAGTGAGAGGAGACGCAAGCCTGTATACAGAGTTGTTATTACTATTCTGGTTCACTAACATGCTGTTGTTCGTAACAACAATATACCACAAACACATCAGTGTCTTTAATGAGCCGTAGGCTAAACCCAAGTGTCTACCAAGGATGAAATGTATATTGCTGTTAAATCATTTTGTTAAGGTTCTGGAAAGGCTCTTACTGCAGCTCGGTTGGTTCTTGGCTCTCGTGCATATGATAGTTCATATATTTCATCTTCAGTATAGTAAAGATCAAGTGACAGCTGAAAATAAACATAGAACTGGATTAGTCTCTAAGCAGTTGCTGTTATTCCGTGGATTTACTTGTTTCTAGTGCACCTACACCTTGCTGGTGAATTAACTGTTAATTAAGGCTGTGCTACAAAACCATACATTTGGGGGAACATGCATTTAAAGTCTAGGTGCTGACAGCAATTTGAAATGGGCACATTTCCAAATGCAAATCTGTTGTTCCCATTGCCTAAGAAATGAACGCAAGTACAATCGGATATTGGCAGTGTGAGTTAATAAGTGACCCGATAACAGTCTGTTGTCCCCATGACATTACAATGGGGGTTCTATCACATCCACGAGAGATGTCTGCTTGTCTGCACTTATAATTCAAATTCTATTTTGGTAGATTTGTCTTTAATAGCTACCCAAGAAGTTTAGGGCAAAATTAGGTTTCTGTGCAACAAAATTATTTTTCAATATTTTAATTATTTAGAATTAATTTCATAAAGATTTTATTCAAGCATGATCCACACAAATGTAACTGTAAAGAAAGAAGTAGTCTAACTAGCCTCTCTGAATTGACATGGCTCCTATAGAGTTCAGTGACACCTTCTCCCTCCTCCCCCAACTCCCACAAAAAGAGAAAAGTTATCTAAGCCGTACAGGTCATTTTTAGCACTATTGCGATATCCACAAATTCAAGGAAGGCATTCCCAAGAACTATTGAGTTTCTTGCTGAGTTGGTTATTTGTGGATGTGGTATGGTATCTCTTTTGGTTTCCATAGGCTCAGCAGAGTCTGGGAAGCCATTTTTAATTGAAAAAAGAAAAGGAGTACTTGTGGCACCTTAGAGACTAACAAATTTATTTGAGCATAAGCTTTCGTGAGCTACAGCTCACTTCATCAGATGCATTCTGTAGCTCACGAAAGCTTATGCTCAAATAAATTTGTTAGTCTCTAAGGTGCCACAAGTCCTCCTGTTCTTTTTGTGAATACAGACTAACACGGCTGCTACTCTGAAACCCATTTTTAACTGGTTTCTCAGAGGGAGAGGCTGTGCTCTCTACCTATGAGTGGCCTGTTAAGAAAGTCAGAAGAATACCTAACCCCTCTCGATAAGTCTGTATCCAGCAGGCAGTCGCTTAGAACATTTTACACTATTATAATTCAAACAGTTATGCAGAAGTGCTGCTATTGCTTGATACGTCTCATATGCGACTGCATTTTTGCAAGGAAAATAAGTGGTTTCCACTCCACTGTAGGCTCACCATATGGAGTTCCTGTGGTTATTATTGCCCAGACACTGCAGTATTTGTTTAGCTATACCTGAGATTTGAGTCTCACGTTATTACACTACCTTTTACAAGGAAATAATCTCTTTGGAAAGACCAAAATTCTGTTGTCGCATCGCACAAAGGCCAAGTGTCAGTTCTGTGTATTTCTGGAAGAGTCCTCCACTCCCAAAGGCCGCTAAACCCAACCCTCTGGAATTCCCTCAATTTTTACTTTCTGGGAACTGTTTTATGGGATAGATTCATCTAATGTAAGTTTCACCAACAGATATTTCTGAGCAAGTGTAGAGGGCCAGGAGCAGTAGTGGTGGCGATAAGGCTATTGTAGGGTGAGGATTCACTCTTGTGAGATGGTCTTTATCCAAGAACAACGATCCTGAGACTTGTAGTCCAGTGATCATGGGAACTGTAAGCTGCTAACAAAGCATGTTTGGTATAAAAGGTCTTTCCTCAGTATGGGAGAGATCAGAGAGATGGTAGCTACTTCTGTGAGCCTCTCTGTCCAGGAGGAGACTAGATGAGGGTAGGGGTGCTGATCTTGTCAAAGAGAAAGGGGCTTAAGGAAGAAGACTGGAGAGCAGCTGAGCAAAGGACCATTTGGCAGGGCTACAGGAAGACTGAGCAAGCCCCTCCAATAGAGGGAAGAAAAGTGTCCACTCAGACCCTGATGAAGAAGCTGTAGCCTAGTGTCTGGGTTTTTCCTCCTTTTTGACTATTTTTGTGGACCCTGGAAGGGGGTAATTTTTTGGGTCACGTGCAGGGGACACTGGGATGCAGACTAAATCTGATAATGGTGGAAGTTGAACTGCACTATCATAGCCCTCAAACAGCATCAGCAAGGGTCCATCACTGGACATGGAGAACCCGACACAGGAACTGAAGGAAGTGGCACATAGCTTCATTGCTATTACTCTTCACCTCAGTTTATGCTGCTGTCAGCCTGAAATCTGCTGTTTCAACATCTTGAATTCATCAAACCCAGCTGGGATCATAAACAGTGGGTAAGTACATGCCAGAGCCAGAAGATGGAGTTGCTTATTCATAGTGAGAATCCTGGTGCTACCACCATTAATTTTAGAAGGAGGCTGTTATTGCACCTGAATGAGATAGAATTTTTTTTAAAAAAAGCTTGCCTACACCCCCTTTTGCCTCGGTTTCTGCAGATATTCCAGCAAATAAGCTTAGTGACAGGAAGTTCTTGCAAATAACTGATTCTCAGCTGGTATTACATAATTTTCACAGGAAGTGAATTTGGAACTCTTGCATACAAATTCACGCTATAAAGCTGATTCTAGGAGTTATGCTTATGTAAGCGACAAAGGAATGTGTGTACAGGTCCCCCTCTGTAACCAATCGAGAGCTTCAGCAGCTCATGCCCTTAGCTCTAGAGGTCCCCAGTTCAATTCCCGCTGTACCAGCCAAGATGGTGTCTCTCATACTTGTATAAGCAGGGCCCAGAAATATAGCATGTGACATGTCCAAACAAAACTGAACAAGGCTGCTCAAGTTTCTGATTTCAAATATATGCAAAAAACCACTTGAACAACCTACAGATCAAGAATTATTACTGCAGTAGTTGTAGTGATAATTTCAAATAACCTATAAATCTTAAACTGGTTTCTGGCAATTCAAAACAACAAGCTAATTTTGTCAAATAATATTTTCATTATGAATTAGTCACTCCTCCCTGCAATTACCACCACCTCTTCAAACTGGCATGTCTGCTGATGCAAAAGCAGGTGACTAAAGGCAATGGGAAGGAGTAGGATGGAGGCCGATGTGAGCCTGGGGAAGGAATAGGCTAACCCCAGGCCCTGCAATGCTGGAGAGAAGCTACTATTGTCAGGTCTTCTTACAACAAACCCAGAGTAATGTACATCTGATACAGACAGTCATAAAACACCACCATTTTCAAGGCTTTGCACTGAAATTGTGAATGACTGCAGTTGTATACGTAAAATTATTTTTGCTAAAATGTTATGGAAAATAAGAAAGTTTAGGGACATAAAAATCACTTTAAACAAGGTATTAAAAGCTTTTTTATTTTTATTTTTTTGGAGGGGTGGGGCTGGGGGAAATTCAGTACGTAGCAAGGCTCTGTAGGAAAACCTGACGGACTATGGTCCTGATTCAGTAACACAGGTGTTTTACTTCGAGCACATGGTAGTCTCAGTGGTAGAGCTACTCATGTGCATAAAGTTAAGTACGTATTTAATTGCTTTGCTGAAACAGGGTTTGTAAGCTGAAAGCAAAACTGGGCCATCTTGTTCAATTGCAACCTGCTAAAAATAAACAGCACAATTTGGGAAAAGTAAGTACATATCAAAAATTCTTCATAGTTTGATAATACTCTAGGAGCAACTAGAATCATAGACTCGTAGGACTGAAAGGGACCTCGAGAGATCATCTAGTCCAGTCCCCTGCACTCATGGCAGAACTAAGTATTATTTAGACCATCCTCTAACCTGCTAACTTGCTCTTAAAGATGTCCAATGATGGAGAACCTTCCTAGGCAAATTATTCCAGTGCTTAACCACCCTGACAGTCAGGAAGCTTTTCCTAATGTCCAACCTAAACCGCCCTTGCAGAAATTTAAGCCCATTGCTTCTTGTCCTATCCTCAGAGGTTAAGGAGAACAATTTTTCTCTGTCCTCCTTGTAACAACCTTTTATGTATTTGAAAACTGTTATCATGTACCTCCCTCAATCTTCTCTTCTCCAACTAAACAAACCCAACTTTTAAAATCTTCCCACATAGGTCATGTTTTCTAGACCTTTACTCTTTTTTGACTAAAACAATGATATTGAGACACACCCCCAACTCTAATTTAATTTGGAGAGCATCCCTGCAGAACTAGTAACATTGTCCTGGCAGAGATATTCCATAAACACAGGCTAATTCCAGACAATCTTTGCTGGTACCATACAGCAGCTTCACAAAGAAAAGTAAAATATTCCTCAGAACTGAGGTACCTTTATCCCAACAGCATCTTATGATGCCTCCCCATTCTCACATTGAAGCAGCTACTATCTGTAACAGGCACAGCAAACCCCTCCAGCATGCCTGAAGACTTTTATAAGATCTTCTATCTTTCCAGGAGTAACTGGGGAGTAAAGGCAGCCCTGCCCCTAGTTAGTGCCTCCTTAGTGAAGGTGTGCAGGCCGTGCTTGCTAATGTAGAATGTCTCCATTCCTTCCTATAGAAATTACCCCAAGGAGACTACCAAACAGCCTGTATTATCAAATACCTTTTCCTATAGCCCGTGTCCTCACCGGGAGTACTGTGTAACCCCTACTGTACCCTAAAAACCTTAGCTATTTTGTTTTCATATTAGCTGTAGCAAAGTATATATTTAGCTTTAAACGCTTGAGAAATGCATGAAAAGCTGTTCAAAATAGGCATTGTTTCTGTGATCTTAGAGACCTACCGTGAGTAGATGAACAAGATCCTTATTAGCTTCTAAGGGAGGTGCCATCTCCTGGAGTTGTATCAGTTCATTTATGTGGTTATACAGAGACTGCAGTTTATGCACATTAATTTTTTGGTCCTCTAAGTAATTTGGTATGGCCTCATAAAGGGAGATCAGGTCCTTCAAGTGGACCCCAAGGATCGGGATCTTAAAGTTAGTGCACTCATTGTAGGCACGTCGATAACTGTCATAGTTCCTATAAGATGAGAGCAGTTCTGTCATTTCATTAAACACCTAAAGAAAATAAACAAAGTAGCAAAATTAATCGCATTTTCTGTGTTCATGATTTTATTCATGTGAACATATTTGTCTCTTCAGATAGTATAGAGACAGCCCATGTTATTGTTCACCGACGTGTTTTTATCCTCCAGAAAGCCAAGCCAAGATTTACAAAACAAAACAGAAGGAAGTAACCCTAAAGGTCTAAATCTTCTGGCTTCAAATGAAACCTAGTTTACAACTGCTTACACAAATGTTACTGCCATTTAATAATATTTTAAAAAGCAATCCACCAATTTTTTCAGATTCTGAACCTCTTAATCCCTCGGATTTTAGCTTCACAAATTAAGATTATTTTTAATTAGGTATCCTTAAAAATACAGCCTCAAGTCATCAATTCCCCATCTTTCCCCTAACCGCACTTCCATCACCACATATTTGGAATCTTTTAATCTGTAAATGTAATTGGGGGGAAAAATAAAAATTGTTTGCCTGAAGGTTGTCCAATCTGTATTACTTGATGTTATCTAAACTGTACGTTTATGATACTGAGGACAGTGATACTGACCTTGTTGACCTCATGAGGAACATAAGAACTTGTTTCCTTGAGTCTGGAGATAGAGCTGTGACAGAGACCTCCTATCACTGCCATTAAAGTATTGAAATTCTGCAACTGGTGGAGCTTCTGTATTGACAAACAATATCAATTACTTAAAGTTTGAAGTTGTGAAATGTATACATCCAAACTATGCTTTCCTTTTTAGCTGGGGCCTAGGTACTGTTGGTTCTACGGAGTTCCTAAAAATGTCCTTTGTAGCACATCATTCTTGGTTACCATTTTTAAACAATCTTACTCCATTTTTATACTCAAGTAGTGTTCTCATTTGTTGGAGTGCTGTGTGAGCTCTTCCTTTATACAAAAAGCCTTTTTATTCTACAAGCAGAGAGCATCTCCAAAGGACACCTCTCTTCAGTGCAAAGGTAAGATTTTAACAATGTTCAATGTTCCTGTTCAGGAGAATCTTGAGCATCTTCCCTTTATCAGTAATTCACTGGCAAATACGGTCTCTAAATAGTGACACCTCTGGAAGGTTAAGGAAAAGTATTGAGTGGTTCAAAAGGAAGTCTAGCTGCTTTGGGCAAACGGGTCTGCAATATGGGTCTCAAGGGAGAGACCTACTGCAGTTGAAAATAAGGTGATGCTCGATCATTTGGTATAAAAATAGAGACCACTGCCAACTCTCCTTCCCAGCTGACCCCACTGGAGAGTACAAGTAGTGGTGAAGAAGGAATAATTAAAGGGCTGACAGTTTCAAAGAAAGGACATATGACGAACCCAAAAAGGTCAAAGTGAAACTGACCTGTGCAACATGAATAAACTTGATGAATACTTCAGCCCGAAGCTGTGGTGTTGGCCTACTGAGTACCATTAGCTGTACCCATTGGGAGATACCATTACAAAGAGCAATGGACCTTTCCATTGTTGGATTCTCCTTTACGCAGCTGTTTACAATGTAATTCTGGTAATCTGAGAACTAAAAAACAAAAACAAGTTAAACCTCATCCAGACTTTGTATATTCCATGAAGCCTGTGTGCAGATATAGATCTTCTTACTAAATAAAATACAGTGACGTGTTATGTATTTTATATTTATCTATAGGGCGGAAATCTTCCCCCATTCCTAAGCACTTCTCAGCACAGGGAGGTAGAGCAGCTTCAGTCTGGGAGCCAGGTGATGCTCCCCAAATGACCTTATGCCACTGTCAGATATAGGTAGCAAAGCTCCGTTCCACCATATTCCTATCCTGTTCCCCCAGCACGCAATAATGCCGAAGATGAAAGGAGGACTGCTGGCGCAACAGGAAGCTATACCTCTGACAACTTGACACCAGTTGAGATTTCTCTTACATAAGGGGAATTCTACCTACTGGCCACCTCTGGCCAAAATATGTCCACTTCACATTGCCTGAGTGGCAAAAAGTGGCTGTGATGAACCAAAGAATCCAGCTCATAATCTGTACTATGTACTATTCATGAAATGGAATGGTGGTGGAATTCTATCTCAATGCTTCCAATGTTTCACCTTCCTCTGCTGTGCTTGAAGGCAGACAAAGTGACAGGTATGTTGTCTTTTTATTTAGAGCTGTTAGTAAGCAGCAAGCATCTTTTGAATTAGGATCTCTCAAAGGGAGGTTCTTGTGGGGTATGTAAGTGATCATGATTTAGAATGCTAGTGCCCAGCAACTTCTGACTTCTACTGTTAGTGAAAACAAATTGAGTTTTCTTCTATGCACCCATTCCAAAGGAAATTGACTGATGTGAATTAACTAAATATTACAGCGGCAAAGAGTCCTGTGGCACCTTATAGACTAACAGACGTATTGGAGCATAAGCTTTCGTGGGTGAATACCCACTTCATTGGATGCATGTAGTGGAAATTTCCAGAGGCAGGTATAAATATTCAAGCAAGAATCAGGCTAGGGATAATAAGGTTAGTTCAAACATCCTCCCTGATTGAACAATTCTGACTTATTAAATTTTATTTTATACCAAGTGGAAAATTAATTTCTCTAGTAAGCCTATAAGAACAGAAACTAGAAGAGACGGATCTGTAACAAAAAGGAGTAAATTGTCAGCTCATCAAGATGCTTTATGTTCCCTACAGCCTCTTTCTTATTTTTTTTCTTTTTTTTTAAACTAATAAGAGCTATCAGCCATTCAAAATCCATGTAAAAAAGCAGAGATGACAACAGACAACCTTGGTTTGTTCCCCTTGCTAAATTAAAAATGGAATAGATTTTAACACTAATAAGCAGAGTTGTCTGTGAGATTACAGAGTGTTCACATCCATTGTTTGAATTTTGGACCAAAGCCAGATTTGGCAACAAGATGGAACCCAAGCAGCCACTCTACAGAGCTGGATAATTTTTCAGTATTTAACTATATAAATTGTCTTTGTATTGGTTTCAGTACAATAATGAATACATTTGATTAGATTATCTTGGTTACCAGAAGTTCTCCCTTCTGGAAAAGTCCAGAAGGCTTCCCTATAATGTTGGGCACATTTTTATATAATGTATTAGACAAGCTTTCAGAAGAATGTTGGTGTCTGAATTATTATTAAGGTTATTTAACAAGGTTGCAATGGAAAGTAATTTTGCACAGAGCGAATAAACATACCTTTTCATCTCCGACTTGTATTTGCACTAAGAACAAACACAGTTCATCTGCCCCAAACTGAACAAGACAAAGGCTGAGTGAAACAACTGAAAACAGCATAGACTCATAGATGGCCAATGTGAGAGATCTGAGTTCAAAGGTCGTTTTGTTCTTGCTCTAGCTTGCAGCATTGGAGCAATGATGTTTTCAGCTTGGAGCATTTGAATATCAGTCATTCATCAGCCTCCCTTAGTATCTTTTTTAGATAATTATGGAGGGGGATCTATTAACAATCCTGTTACAAGGTTGCATCCCACAACTAGAGAGGAAAAGGAGTGGAATTCAAATGGCAAAATTGCGGCCCAGAATGCTGGGGACATTGCGGTGGTGAAATATCATAGACCTGATTTCTGAGTACTTGGGTATTTTTTGTAAAATGGAAACCACCGTAAGTCTTGTAACACCATTAAACGGCGTTCACCAGTACACTGTCCTAAAAAAACTCTCATTCTATGTAAGCATCTCCTTAAGTTCAAATGGCTTACCCTATATAGGTCCTAAATCTCGAAATAGCTATCACACCCTACGAACAAACACATGTGTTATCCCACCATTCTGTAACAATTCCATCAAACTCAAAAGCTCAGCTCTTTTAACCAGTGATTTTGCAATGGTAACATCTTGTTCACACTGGACATGCTCAGAGAATTAAACACAGACATTAACACATTTGGATGGAATGACTAGAAATTAAAGCCAGACAAATTCAAATGAGAAATACAGGGTTTTGGTTTTTGTTTTTTTTTTTTGGGGGGGGGGGGGTAGAGAAATACAGTTGTCCGGGGGTGGGCTTCCCCCTGAAAAAAAAACCCCAGTGAGGGTAATTAACCTTTGGAACAAACTACCAAGAGAAGTGGTGGATTCTCTCTCGCAGTATAAAAACTGAATGCCTTTTTTGGAAGATATGCTATAGTCAGACACAAGCTCCTGGACACAATACAGGAAATACTGGATGAACATTAACGATTTGATGGTAACTTCTAGCCTTAGAATGAATTAATGTACGAATAGTTACTCTCATGTTACCATTATATCATCTAATTTGCATAGTCTCAGCCATAACAGGGACAAAGATTAGGCTACTATAGTAGGGAGGCATTCTGCAAGGAGTTAAATAATCACACTGTTTAATGGATAAAGCATTTTCTTTTCCTAACCAAGTCCCAGTGAACTAATTTTTTATCTCAGATTATCACTAGTAAAGTATGCAGGAACCTATGTTACACAGCTAAGTAACTGGCTGAGAACTATGAGGGAACCAAGACTCTGACTGTGCATCATACTTGTTATTCCCATTAATCATTAATTAATTAGTGTCTGCACAGAGTTTTGAAAATGTTAAGCATTATGTAATCATTAAGTATTATTACTGCCTACAGGTAGGACCCTATGCATAAATGCGTGACTTCAGTCCTAAGGCTGTTAGATTTTAACTAACACATGAGGAGTCACGTACCTGGAGCTTAAAATAAAGTGCACTGCTGCATGACTAGGAGAGGGTTTTTTTGCAATCTGTTCAACATCCCTCTAACTGCAAAACTTACACTTCAGATTCTAGTGCTACCATCCAAAAGATGAGTCTCTTTGTTCTTTTAGCTGTGCATCTTATCTCAGCAGCTTTAAAACCAGTATTGTACATATTTCCGGGGTGGGGAAAGGATCAACTATACCCACTGCCCCTCCTTGCTGCTTTGAACCTGCTGTGCACTCTTCTGTTTGACACACAAAGAATACCAAACCATACTGGCCTTTTCTTTAGTGTGACAAAGAAAAAAAAAAGACAGTCAGGTATAGCCCCCATTGGCCTGTTTAAAACAAAGTGTTACTTCAATATTTAAGGGGTTTCAGGGCTCTTCAGGAGCCCTTGTAAAGAAGTGCTGCAGCATCCCTCTGCTCTCATAGTGGGGTGAGTACCCCAGGGAGACAATCAGGCAGCCTAGCTCCTGTAGTGCTTTGCTCTCCCCATTCTCCAGTCTCCCTCACCACCACCTCTCTCCCCTCCCCGCAATGCCACTTGCATCAGCTTAAACACTGTTTTGAGTGAAAGGACATGGCTTGTTCCTCAACCTCTCCTTCCTGATTCAATCTACTATCTGAATATAAGGAGGATCAAAAAACTCTGCCTTGTCCACTGCTAGCTCCCCCAACCCAATACACGCACTTTTTGTAAAGACAAAGTAAGGATCAGGATGAAAGTGAGTCCAACTGCATGCACAGAAGGTTAGTTGTTTTGTTCTGTTTTTCCTAGCCAAAAGCTGATCACTTACTGATATTCTTCGGAAGGACTTAAATTCAAGGTAGGTGAGGTGGTCTGATAGCTCTTCCGGCTCTAGATGATCAAAGAGAAGTGAGACTTTCCTTTTCTTACTGGTGTTGGGCTTTATCCGCTGTGTAAGCTTTCGGGACCAATCCCGGGAATTTCTTTTTATAAAAAATAGGAAAAAGTTTACACGAAAATGGAGGTTGCTTTTTGCAGGAAAACTAATTTACATTTCCCCCAAAACAAAACTGTATCAGTTGCATGATTTATTGCAGCTGAAAACCAATGAATGATTTGAATTTCAAAAGAACAATTTCTTTATATTCATTATGAATGATGGACATTATGACATATGCAGTGTAGTTGTAGCCATGTAGGTCCCAGGATATTAGAGATATGGTGGGTGAGGTAGTATCTTTTACTGGAAGTTGGTCCAATAAAAGATATTATGACAACAGTCCTGTTGAATGCTTTTAGTTTGCATTTTAAAAGAACTCTTTAAAGATAGTAAAATTACATTATGAAATAGAATACAGCCATAGTGATATCTCCTCAGCATTGCTGTGTTTAACTCTCTCCAGTTTGCTGTATCCATTGAATCAAATCCCAGTCCCATTAAAGTCAATGGGATTCAGTGGCAACAGGATTTGGTCTGTCCGTTATGCCTTAGTTATTCTCAGGAGAGAGCCACGTGAGATATAGCCCCTGTGCACTTTATTTTTCTAGGTGTATCCTTGACCAGATAATAAGACCAGCAACAACACACAAAATAACATTAGGAATTAGACATAATGAAATGAACCCTATATTGTCTTCCTAGTGATCTGAACTTTGGCTTTTAAAAAGTTCACTGTTTTACCCCATGTACACTCTGAGTAAAATGTGTTCTCCTTTTTCACTGCGCTTTCAAGGAATTAAGTCTTTCAAAATCTTAGTCTTCTGTGTGCCTTAAAGTGAAGTTTACCCTGTTCAGAGGATTGGCACAAGATCTCTGCAACAATTTAGTTAAACTTAAGCCATATTTTGAGAGCTTTAATAAGACTTAAATTGTCACATGCTGGCCCTTTGCACAGGGGTAAATTTCACCCTCAGTAAACTGAGATCTTTTGCACATAGCTAATATAGGACACTTGGAAATATTCCTAATCTAGCTATTGGAGATTGGTTACTATTATTTTAGGGAAGTGAGATGGTAATATTGTTTTGTTTTCCAAACAAATTAAAACCTTGACACTCACATTTGAGTTGTGTCAATTAGGCGACAGTGTAACTCCTCACCATTAGCTCTCACCAATTTCTGAAATTCCTCCATGGTGTTAGTTAGACTAGAATCCATTTTGAACATGATCCAGAACTCTGTTATCCAATACCTATTGTAAATGGAAAATACAATAATAAAATAGAGAATTTTGCTGGTTATTTGTGTAATTGAAACACCAGTAATGCTGCAAGGCAAACATCCAGTCTGGTTTATAACTGCTATGCTCTTTTGGTCACTCAGATTTTAAATTTTGCTTCAAAGTACCTTCTCCAAAGTACACTGTTCTATCAAATAGAGAGTTTATAATGCAAGAATCAAACACTTGTATTGACACTACCAACTCTGTCTTATTGCTTTGTAATGACTGTGTATGTGACAAACTTCAACGTATCTGATCATCTCAACATATTATCTACACATACATATATATCAAACAACACAGTGAGCTGGCTCAGTGCTCAGACCTTTAAATATATTGGGCAGATCCTCAGCTTGTGTAAATCAGTGTAGCTCCACTGGCTTCAATGAAGCTACACAGATTTACACAAGCCAAGGATCTAGCCTGTTACTTTTTCTTTATATGGTGCTAATCTGTACCGCCAAATTCTACAACAAACTCATAATTTCTTGAAATCACTTAGTTTGACAGTGAAGGCAATGCCTCGTTCTAGGATTATTTTTGTTTATTATATATTGGGTGGGGGAATGGAAACCCGCCACCCACAAATAAATAGAAATCTTTTTGGGTGATACAGTTTAACTTGATATATACAAGGTATTTCCTGAGAAACAGTGCCTTGTACATAAGGTGGTCAGATTGCATGTATTATGTCTCATTATTCCATTCAGCTTATTTGGCTTGTAAGCCAGGCACACACACAACCTGGGTTTTCTCTAATAAATGGACATGTGTACTCTCCTCTAGGTGTGTGCATTTGTGAATTTTACATGTGCACAATTTGAAAATTCCATAATGTCCTGTAAAATACTGAACCATTCTGCACTAATGAAGTACCCCTTTTTGAGATAGTAAAATGGTCATTATTAAAAAGCCGACATTTGCCAGCATCTACCATTTATTTCTTGGTCTAAGTACTGATGAAAGCATTAGTGCTATGCAAAAACTGTTGGCAAATGCTGACTCTCTAATAAAAACATTCTTTAAACTAAAATATCAACCATTAAATTAAATGTAATAGAAGGAAAAAGGAAATAATTTCCTAGGGTAACACTGCAATTGATTAAGAACAACTTCTTATTGAATGCATATAGCCCAATTATTCAACATTGCTTTATTTGAAAGAGAAAACTGTATGGTAACATAGGGCCCAATTCAACCAGCTGCTGATCACTCTCCACTTTCAGTGATGTCAATACAAGTTGAGGGTGCTGAGGTTTTTGGACGCTCAGGGTCGTAATTATGCACCCGTAACAGGGAGCTGAATTCATCCATTGATTTTAATGGATTTGTGGGCCATTGTGCAGAGATCTGTGCAAGTAAAACTTTAAGGAAGGCTGTGGAAGATCATTCCTCTTTTGAATGCTAACTTAAGAAATGCAAGGTCACTCTTATTTGTGGCACCACATGACCAGCCTGAACAATAATAGCGAGCATGACATTGTATCACTTATTTTATTTCACAGATACACGATGCAAAAAATTCTTACCTTACAAAATAGCATATCTTTACACAAAGCCCAGAAGATTTCTTTTCTAAAGCATCCAGATATGTAGAGAACTGTTAAGGAAAACATGGCAGTTCACCCACGATCTGAGACTTGACACGTTCAGCATTTCTTGGGGCCTGATCCAATGCTCACTGATTGAAGCTAGTGGGAACTTTTCCATTGCCTTCTGTGGACATTGGATCAGGGCTCTGATGCATATCATTCTTCTGAAATCATTAGTGAAAGACAGATATAAATAGGACAGTTATAAATAACACTGACGTATTTCACCAAGTGCTGAGAGGTGTTAAGTACTTAAATGAACCTTTGCTTTTCAGTTTGCTTCTTGGTAATTTTATTCCTAGTTTTCATTAGGACTTATCCATTCATACAGCTTGTTAAAGTATGAAACAAAAGGTTATAAAATAGTACTAAATTCATCAAGGACCATTTTTATGGAGAACTGCCTGTAACTGTTGTGATTTACCAGAGATAATGCTGGAGAGAAATATTTCTGAAGTGTGAAATTTATATTAACTGCAGAGAGAACATTTATTTTTATTCTATAAACGGTAATTTACATATAGAATCATAGAATATTAGGGTTGGAAGAGACCTCAAGAAGTCATTTAGTCCAATCCCCTGCTCAAAGTAGGACCAACACCAACTAAATCATCCCAACCAGGGCTTTGTCAAGCCGGCCCTTAAAAACCTCTAAGGATGGAGATTCCACCACCTGCATAGGTAACCCATTCCAGTGCTTCAGCACCCTCATAGTTAAATAGTGTTTCCTAATATCCAACCTAGACCTCCCCCACTGCAACTTGAGACCACCTCCCCCAGTGCTTCTTATTCTGTCATCTGCCACCACTGAGAATAGCCTAGCTCCATCCTCTTTGGAACCCCACTTCAGGTAGTTGAAGGCTGCTATCAAATCCCCCCTCACTCTTCTCTCCTGCAGACTAATAAGCCCAGTTCCCTCAGCCTTTCCTCATAAATCATGTGCCCCAGCCCCCGCCCCCAATCATTTTTATTGCCCTCCACTGGACTCTCTCCAATTTGTCCACTTCCCTTCTGTAGTGGGGGGACCAAAACTGGATGCAATACTCCATGTGTGGCCTCACCAGTGCTGAATAGAGGGGAATAATCACTTCCCTCAATCTGCTGGCAATGCTCCTACTAATACAGCCATGGTATACATGGAAGATCAGTTCAGGAAAAATATATTATGGGCATTATGGATATTTTTCTCCTGCAGATCTTTTATGCATCTCTTTATGAGGTATTGTGCACCTATTCAAAGAAGATAATTTACAGACTGTCAGAGGGCCAGATCAATCTAAATGGGACTCAGATCTTCTGCAAATTGACCAGAGCTGGTCATGTATTTTTGAGGGATGAAGAGTGGTGGAACTGCAAATTTGAAGGCAACTTCAAAAACCTCAAAGCCCAGATTAGCTGATCCATTCAAATCTGCTTTACTCCACCACTGACTTTGCAAATACATATATCTGGCTGGAAAGTCTGTGTGTGTGGAATTTAAAAATTGACAAGTGAATTACTTCCCTGACTGCAGAAAACCCAAGTTCCATAGGGAAGATGTAAACAATTATTTTGTTCCATTATTAAAAAAATGATCAGAAAGGAGTGGGGACTCTCAGCCACAGCTTGAAGTGAATTTGAACCCAACTCCTATTTATTGAGGATTGAGGCCTCTATAATTGATCACATGGTATATTTGGGTTGGTGCGGAATCAAGTCCCCTTTGTTTCTACTATTGTAGAGCAAAACCCCTTCACTTTAATATATCTATATCTATCTATCTTATTTACAGGTGACTGACATAATTTTGCCTTCACTTACAAAGGTGCTACTCCAGTTGTAGATAATTATTATTACCGATTGAAAACAGGATTGTTTTCTTGACTGTGGGAAGCAAGTTGCCTCTGTAAGTCAGCTATTTGTTTGGTTTACACTGTAAACGGGAATGGCTCAATGTACATGAGAATTGAGCCCCATATCTTGTTATTTCTGAGGAAATGCAAAACCCTAAATTAAATGACAATTATTCTACAACCCAAAAAGTAACTGCCTGATATCTTGGATGCTGCATATTGTGGGTATCTAGGGAAGTCTGACTGCTAATGTCATGGCAGGTCTGTTTTGCAAAGCTATGCTAATTGGAAACCAATAACAATTAGAGTTGTGGGGGGAAGTACTAACTAAAACAAGTTCTACCAAGTAAATGCCTGACTCAGAGGTTCCTGGTGTCTCTCAGGATTGGTTCCTAATTATGTTATGATCCATTAATTATGAACAAACATTCAGTAAAGCTAATAGAGTTAGGCAGTATCTTCCAACAGCTAAGAATCCTCTAGATAAAAGAGAGCAGTTATGCCAGTATTCATGCTTTTAGCATCTTTTTTATGAGCGTCTGATGGGCCACAAACTCATTTTGTGAAAATATATTTTCACAGAACTTTGAGGCCCCAAAATACGATAATTAGACTGGGGAGTGTTTTAAAATTTACCCACTTCATTTTTGGAACATTTTAACTTTTATTTGCATGGAGAAGGTAATTCAACACATTGTGCATATCTTTCAATGATTTTCAGATATAGACTAGGTTAGCATAATATGAAGATCTTTCTGTACATAAATAATTACAAATACTGGGTCTGAGATTGCAACGGCCACGTAATTTGCTGGAAAGCCTTCTCCATATACCTTCTACCCTAGATCATTGAGAACATCTCCCTAGGTTTGTTTTAAAATAAGCAGACTTTTCTTAAGCACTAAATTTAGCCTTTCAGTTATCATGAGATGCAGAGGTGAATCCACCAATTTATTAATATAGACCTGTAGGTTGTATACACTTTACTTACCGTTCAGTCAATGTATTTCTGTATTACCTTACCTTAATAACTACAGGTGAGCATTATAAAGGATATAGATCAATTAGTTTTCGGAGCACATCCTCAGAAGGGATGATAACTCTGTGCATGGTCAGTGTTATCTGTAGCAGCTGGTTGTTTTTACATAGGTTTCCTTCTGAATCTGAAAAGTGAGGTGAAGCATTCTTATCAGGAACATAATAAGACTGGTCATACAAGAGGATAGGGGTTTTTTCAGCTTTCTGTTCTGATCAGGCTGGTTCACATAAGCAATATCAGAGACAGTAGCTACTCTCAGGTTTCAGAGTAGCAGCTGTGTTAGTCTGTATCCACAAAAAGAAAAGGAGGACTTGTGGCACCTTAGAGACTATTTATTTGAGCATAAGCTTTCGTGAGCTACAGCTGAAGTGAGCTGTAGCTCACGAAAGCTTATGCTCAAATAAATGTTAGTCTCTAAGGTGCCACAAGTCCTCCTTTTCTTTTTAGTAGCTACCCTGTTGCATCAGTGAGATGAGATTATTTTGCAAGCAGAGGTGCATAGAAATCATTTGTACTTGCATAAAATATTTCATCCAAGGATTTGAAAGCCTTTTACAAAGATTAATTCAACCTCAAAACATCCTGCAGAGATACACAAGTATAACGGCCCCAATCCAGCAAAGCTCATAAGCGTATGTTTAATTTTAAGCAAGTGAGTATAACCATTGAAACAAATTGATAAATTGAGGTGGAGAGGTTAGGTGAGGTGACTTATCCAAATCAAACAGCGAATCAGTAGCGGAACTGGATGTAGGTCCCAACAGGCAGATTTTTAAAAGGGCACATGCAGTTTTCTGCACACCTGACTTGCATGCCCAAGACCTTAGCGTACACACAGAAGTCAGGATTTACACTTGCACACGACTATGCATGCACAATCCTAATAAGAGTGTGTATAGCAGGAGATTTTGCATGTGCAGAAGTCCAGCGATGTGCCCACTTAAGAAAAAAAAAATCTAGCCCCAAAAGTCTTAATACACGTTCTCTTACTTTATCCATTACATTTACTGTACTACTATTAGTTTTTAGATACACATTTGTGTTTCCCGTATCTCTACTTGGGAAGAATCCAGGACATCAAGTATTTCAGATGTGTTTAAATTAACATTACTGTAAATTTGTTACATAAATGCAAATATAATTACACCGAGTATTTTATAAAAATTCAAAGAAGGTATTTTATACCAACTCTGGAGAGAGAGGCTTCGCTTCTTCTTCAACGCTTAGCCAGACAGTCGGCCGTAGTGATAGTTCGCCATTTGGTCTGTTCCTGCGCAACCGCAAAGGTTTGACCGTCTGAGAGTCCAACATGGGAACAGACTTGATAAACCCATTTAATAGGGGGTCTTCCTCTGGGCCACCTCCACCTCTCGGTTGGTGGAATTTTATCCCAGATGTTACATGCCACACGGAAAACGAAGTTCGCTGGAACGTCTTGTGGTATCCTTGCGACATGTCCGAAAAGTGTAAGGCGCTGCCTGCGGACAATGGCCCCAGTAGTCCGTAGACCTGAACGACCATAAATATCTGCATTACAGATGAAGTCATTCCACTTTATGCCCAATATACAACGTTGACATTTTGTGTGGAAAGTCTTCAGCTTTGTCCAGTCTGTGTGGCATACTGTCCATGTTGTACGGCTGCAAAACAGTATAGGAAGGATACAAGTCGAATAAATCCTGAACTTGGTTGTCGTACTAAGATGATGTTGATTCCATATCCGTTGTAAACAGCCCATGGCAGATGCTGTGATGCCAATCCAATGGAGAACCTCTGTGTGAGAACTGAAGGAGCTGGTAAGCATAGAATCCAGATAACAAAAGCTGGAAACCGATTTGATGGTTTCATTGTTCAAAGAGATTGGAGTCACAGGTGGACCTGGTCCTAGATTTTGCAGTTTTGTCTTTGATCATGAAACATGGAGACCAATCTTAGCTGACTCCTACTCCGTATGCTGGAGTGCCTCACAAAACCTTTTGGGGCTCTGTACTAAAAAAGCAATGTCATCAGCATAGTCAAGGTCTTTGAGCAAGAGATGACTGATCTCAATGCCTATGAACCTGATGGAATGCTGCATTATGAAATCCATTGCCTGACAAAGGAGTGCAGGGGCCAGAATGCAACCCTGCCTAACACCAGATATTGATTTAAAAGGTGCTGACATCCCGTTCCCCAGACGAACATGGACAGTGGTTCCATTATCAGGGAAACCTACACCCTTTAAGGCCTTCCATAACGTGACATGGTCTACTGAATCAAATGCAGCCTTAATATCAACATACACTACATGCAGGGGCTTTCTGAACTCACGATGTATCTCCGACAACAAGTAAAGGGCCAAAATGGCATCTAATGCGGACCTGTTCCTCGTAAAACCTGACTGTTGGGGGACGACATTTCTGGTGTGGCAAAGGCTCCAGGCACGCCAGCAAAACATGCGCAAATATCTTCCCTGGAACGGAGAGCAAGGTGATCGGCCTGTAGCTCTTACATTCACTGCGCGGTCCCTTGCCCTTACAGAGTGAGATCACAATACCTTCCTTCCAGGCGGTTGGCAGGGTTCCAGTTCTCCACACCAGACGAAAGATGGCCAGAAGTGATTCTGCTGCAGGATCAATAGCACATTTTAGCAGCTCTATGGGGATGCCATCAGCACTGGCTGTGCGTCCGTTTTTCAGTTTAGAGATGACACACTTCACTTCATCCAATGTTGGTGCATCAGTACAAATGTCTGAAGCTGGAACCACAGTGACTGCCAGATCATCCATCTCCGAACAAGAGGCAGCTGAAGGATGATTCAGGACACTATGATAACACTCCACCCAGCGTGAGAGAATGTCATCATCCAATTTAACTGGATGGCCTTGGCTATCATTCAGGATGCCATTTGTAGTGACTACCTCTTGACCCCTGGGGTTGCAAATGGCATGGAATACTAGCTTCAAGTTGCCCCGGCTAAGCCAAATTCGACATAATCCGCCACTTGGTTATAATATGCCTCATGATCGCTGAGTGCCAGGGTGTTAAATTTTCACTTCAGCTGATTACGAGTGCACTTATCACCATGCTGGTGAGCTGCGGCCTTCAATTTAATTATCTGGAAGGCCTCCTCCAATACCCGGGGTTGGCGTGCTGGATGCCTATAGCCAATCATCTGCTCAGCAAATTGGTTGCGGGTAGAAGTGAACAGGGACCAGGCAACCTCCACGTCATCTGGCAGATTAGCTAGAGCCGAGAATGTGTTGCTTTGACATCAATACAAAACCTGTTGCTAAACCTGGCACACGTAGTGCATCGATGTCAAACTTCTTCATCATCATAGAGGGCTTACCTGCTCGTTGGAACATCAACACCATACTGGCGACCAATAGATGGTAGAGAGGCTGGCTGGGTCAAATAAAAATTTGACTGACTTGCGATTTGAAAATAAAATGTAATCTGTTTGAGTGCTTTTAACTATATTCCCCTCTAAGAGCCTGCATTTATGTTACAAGTTGAGAAGAACAGCTGAAAACCAAAATAGCATAAACATATTCTTGAAACAATGCTTAATGAGGAGAAGGCAAAATGGAAACAGTAGGCAAAACCCCAGAAACGCAGCATATTTTGCTGCATATATTGTTAGAGGAAAAACATTTTCAAGTTGCATATCACCCCATGGAGGTGTTGTCAAGGTTAATCCACCTAAAAAACAATATAATGAAGAGGCAGATGTCAGGTAAGGGTTTTGGTACTATCTGAAGGTGCCAACTGGGGAAGGTGGACTCCAGATCTGAAATCTCTCCTACCAATCAAAAATCTAGGATGAAAAGCCTCCCTAAGTCTTTGCCTAAGGATGCAAATTCAGCCTCTTTCTCCTGTGTCTGAGTTGTACATCAAAAGATAGGAGAAGCTGGGTCACTTTTAAGTCAACAGTTTGTAAATTTCTTCAGCACTGGTGCCTCAGCTCACTCACTTTAATGAAGATTTCTGTATTATGGCTCTCCCTGTGCTAAATACAGGACATCTAGCAAACAAAATAAGATATTGATCTACCATCATTTCATAGCCAATTTTTATTGACTCAGGAAACATCCTAGAACTTCTCCCTAACCCCTCCAAGTCAATTTAGGGTCCTTTTAACCTTGTGGGATTTTGAAACATGTCCCACTTCTTCTTGAACTGCTTACTTTGGTTGCTGGCTGTGAGGGGGTGTTCACCACACACCACCCAGGAAGGGTTTAAGGTAGCTCAGAAGGGGCTAATTAACCTAGTAGGCTGCACCTGGAGGGAGATTTAGGCTTGACTAACAAGCATTAATTGAAGATGGAGCCCATCTGGGCAGGAGTAGGCAGGGCTTGTATAAAGCCAGGAAGGGAGAACAGAAGGGGGCTACAGCATAGAAGTTTGCAGTCACTTTCTGGGTGTAGGGAGGAGAGAAGAACAAAACCCATTAGGGGAGCAGAAGTCCTGGGATCCTGACCCCCGAGGGAGCTGGAAAAGAAAGCCGGTGGAGGGCAGATTAGGAAGGAGAGTGGGAAGACTTGCCTGGAATGGCACCTGGACAGCTACTCCAGTGAGACTTCCTTACCCTGGAAGGGGGAAAACTGTATAGTGACCTGGTTGGTGGGCCAATCCACAAAGACAAAGCATTGCAATTCCTAGAGAGCAAGAGGAGCCATGGCATAAGCAAGCAAAGGAAGGGGTATCAGACTGGGCAGAACTAATTCCCAGATGCAGGCACAAGGGGTATCCCAACGGTGAGTAACGCCTGTTATGCTGGCTCCGACAAACGGTGGTGTGTTTTGTTTCTTGTACCGTTTTTGGAATTACACTGTCCAAATTGTTTACACGGTAGTTCCCTCTTCAACATCTGTTTGACTAAAGCTTTAGAATTAATAGCCATCTTCATTTTTAATGATGCACTTATTTTCTTTCTGGATCATTTATAACTTTTAGTTGTTTCCTCAACCCATCAGCCTGTTTATAAGCAATCAAGCTAAATCTGGTCAAACTGAACTCATTTACATCCCAGTAAACTGAAACATTTTGGTTGCACTCCATTAAACCCTTTCATACACATCTTCCTTTAATAGTTCCACAAATATCGCCGCTATATTGTTCTCCACTGAGACTGGGCTAGCC